TGTCTTCTACTGTATGCACACTAGCAGTTCGGTGGTCATTATGGCAATGTTTAGACAGAAAATATGTCGGTCTTATGGGAAGTTACTGAAGTTCTGTGAGTGTCTTCATTTTTAGATTGCTTCAAATTATGCTACTTCAGTTTCTTGCCACCTTATCAGCCATTATAAGACTCAGTATTCCGAAAAAGTAAAAACTTCCACAGTCTGATATGGAATTTGAGATTCTAACGGCAGTGAAGATGTTGGCCAAGTGGGTTGTAACGCCGTATGAACTTGTGGGGAGATGCCAACGTTTCAGAGAGACTGAATCTTCATGGCTGAAAATAATAACAAATTGACTGCCAGGTATGGACAGTATTGTTTGTTTAAAATCAGCCGAGCCTCTGTTTTTGGTGCAGACAGTGCAGCAACCGTATTTACTCCATACTCACTCGGCACAGATGGACAAGAACTGAACCACACTCGCAGCATGTCGTTGTCTGACCTTGAACTACAGTATGGCCAGGCCTCGGCAGTGTTGCCAGTCACACGGCAACAACATTCCAATATTGACCTTGCTGTTTGAATTCTTCATGTGTATCGAATAGAAGTTTAGACTTGTTTGCCCACTAAACCACTATTTTATGTTTTGCACACAACTCGCGTCCCGAGAGAGACTGCCCATTGATAGCCGTGGGGCATACTTTGGAAACATGTGTTTGAACACGCGCGCCATTTGATCGGTACTCCATTCAATGCAGAATGCGAGTTTTAGGGATTCCTTTCTTCTTCAAATCCAGAGCTCGCCACAGCTCCATGCTTGAGAGTGCTTCGTGTGGATTCTTTCCCAGTCTCTAGCCTCTGAAGTGCTTTTGTACGTATTTTGAATGGCGTCACCTTCCACTCCTGTCTTCACATCGTGGATGGCAGCACGAGAGCAGTATAATAACACTCGTGTGTGTGACAGTGTACATTTTGCGAACTACGCATAATGTTGGAATCAGTGTTTTCGTCAGATATTGAACGTTATTAAAATTTAGATTTTCATTTCGTATTCTAAATCATTTGCGATAAGTCAAGATCATGGTGTGTCCACACATACTTTAAGGTGGAAAGCAGCAGATTTTTTTTTAAATATCGGTCACTAATCTATGAAACTGCACTGCTCAGCATTCCACAAGACAGCCACCTTCTTCCAATCTCTTTATTACTGATCTCTGAAGTTACGTCATTTGATCTTTTTTTTTGCTTTACGGAGAATAACAGTTTTCACTATGAAACTCACGTCCTTGGTGTCTTTGCTGTATTATGAATATTTTATAAAGCAATTACTTTGTGTTTGTAAACTTTTACTTCTCAGCAATATAATCTACACTTTGAGCATCGTTTTCGCTTTGCTCTTGAATAATCTTTTCTAGACGTGCTGTTGCATATTTTCCATAACAGTGGTTTATGCTGAAATTAATACTGTACATTATATTAACTCATTCCTGTTAAGTTATTGTTTATTATTGAACTGGCGTTTTAAGTGTCTTTTCACACCAAAATTTATTCTTGCAAAATTTATGACGTTCAAATTGTTTAACTGTGTTCAGCGTAAAAATGCTGTGTTCTTGGTTGTTGTCAAGGTCCTCTGAAACTTCGGTAGACTTCTATCAGGTTACACTGCGCGACAACCCAGAAGACAGCCATCTTCTGGCACACCGCCATAAAAAACCTCAAGTCCTGCTACATTTACATAAAAATTTGATACTGTTAAGTTTTGCATGACGACATTTTAGTCGAAATATACGCAAGAACGATTTTACTGAGAGAAAAGAAACTTTCTAGGGCAATTATTTATTAATGTCTCTCAGTTTTCAGTACGAGTGTTTAAAGTACCGCGATGATTGGACAGAATTGATGTCTCTTTGGTGATTACTAGACTGGTTAGTCCTGAAATCTCGAAGTTTCCTAATCGTTGAATGATACATTAAAGGATTGTTGCTACTTTATACGTCGGAAGAATCAGGAAATGCACCCCGTTCAGCGTGATGTCAAACCGGATTTCGTTGTGGAGTCTTGCTTCATTGTAGTTCACAGAAACACTTCGTTTAAGCTGTGTACCTTCTGTAGTAGAATAGTAACCCTGTCGACTTTATACTCAATGTATTTTCTCTTTGTGAACTCCTAAATGTTTGCAGTCGTGTTGGGCACCTCTGGGCTATACAGGATAAGGGGAGAAATAGTGAGGGTAGAAAATTGGGGAGATGGAGTTCGTGTGTTGGAAGTCAAGTTTCGGGGAAGCCAGGAAGAGAACACAAAGGAGTTTACACAAGACTTTTTTTTAAGATTAAAAAGCAGTATTTTGAATCGTAAACTTTTCGTATTCATATTCAAAATATCTTAAACTGAAACATTAATTTTAAATAGTTTTGTTAGATATTAAAGTAAACGATTTAGTAAATCAGGTACAATTTTAGAAGTGGAGTGAAGTGAATTGAATTGAAGTAAAAAATAGAAACTCAGTCGGGAATTGACCATCGGCCGTCCTTTTCCAGACTTGCCTGTCATGCCTCTTATAGTGCTCGTAATTGAACTGTTTAAAGTGTTTGAACATTTTCAGTTCTTTGTAATTGATCTAAATCCTTACAGTAGTGTTTTTTTGGTCTGTGGGCCGTATATTACTTAACACTGGTTTTAAGTGAGAATGAACTGCAAGTAGGACCATTGTCATTGCACTTCCCTATACAAAGCACAGAAAGAATGTTGTTTTAATAGGCGTACATTAATTAAACATTAGTATCCTGTATGCATTCATTTATTTATTGAATATAATTACATATAAGTGCAAAATTAAGTTGACTTTTGTACCTCTAGTGATATTCATTATGGATGTTTCCAGTTACTTCAACTTTCATTTGATTAATGTTATATTTCTAGGACACCAGAAAGTTGAATCGTGTCTATCTAGGTGCGCCCATACGCATGTAAAAACTTCGGAAACTGCGGAGTGGATTTTCATCCCCATGCTTAAATTTCTTAACTTGTTCACTTGAGTGTGTACCTGGTGCATGATGCTTGTATTAATTTCCACATTGATGGTCAGATTTACCATTGTAATCATTTAAGATATTGATGGTGTATGTTTATAGTCAGAAAACCATTCCCTGATTAATAATTTTAATTATTAGAAATGTCATTACAATGCAATATGAATAAAAAATGCACGTGAAAACGACTAGGATTGAGTAATAAACACAATTTTTCTAAACTTACTTTACTAATATTGAAAATCAACAATAGTGCATATCAGAAATATTTCTTTATATTATACTTTCGTAACTTTTGATGTTTATCTACTTATAATTTAATATTAAAAAAACATTCACTTCCTTATGAAACCACAAATTTGCACTGAAATACTCTGTTAACAGACATATTTATTTATTCAAGCTGCATAGTTTACAATATCAAAACATTATGAAATGAGATTAATATAGTATTTACATTTTATAATTCTATATAACTGGAACAAACGATGTATCATGTTGCAGGGTGGTTATCCAGCTAAACTAAAGAAGGTGCTAATCGTGACTGCACCACTTTGGTTTAAAGCTCCTTTCAAGATCCTGCGGCTCTTTGTGCGGGAGAAACTGCGAGACAGAGTGTTCACTGTTAGTATACCTCAGGTTAGTGTAATAGATTTACATACAAGAGGATTTTTTTAACTCGTGTACTCTTACGATATTTTACTTTTATTTGTTGAAAGTTTGATATGTAACATATTGATAATGAGGTGTGATGTAGCTGAGAAGTGGAAGCAGTCAAATTATGTCAGTTAGGAAACACATCGTCTCATTTGGCTATTGTCCATAGTTGACGCTGCATATCCCGCGCGGATCTCTACCATCACGTCTGGGTGGTGAGCTGGCCGTGGATCATGCATCGTGGCTGTTGCACTGCCTCAAATCCGTGACGAACCGCCATGGCGACCTTTGTGACGTGGCATCTCCTCTTGGCTCAGGAGCGGCGATGGATTCCGCCATTTTTGCTACCAGTGCTGCTACAACTACAATTCCCAATGGGTCTGCCAGAAACCTAGAACATGTATGTGTGATATAATCTTTAAAGAAATGTAAGAATACATGATAAATAGAATAAAGAGTAAAATAAATATTGTCCAGTCTGTAGTCAGTCACTATACAGACTGAGCTCCCCAGGTTCCAATATAAATAAATAATTAATATTTAGAGCATGAGAGTGATAGTAACTTGGCCAATAAAGTGGGAAAAGATATTGTGGTGTCATCTGCCAAACGCAGCGCGTGGAGATAAATAACAAGATTAATATTCCATGTTATAGTGTGTTTATGTCTTTTGGAACACTCTGTATGTGGCTAGAAATGAAACTTTTATAGAGAAAACTGAGTCTTTGAAATGACTCAAAGTGGATCATGGGGAAAAAAGTTGTGAGGACTGTACTGGCTCATGGTCACTTCTTTTGTGTAAGCAGTGTTGAATGTTTGGATTCTATTAAGACAGAGTTTGTTGGTTAGTTCGTTTGGTTTCTTTGGACGATTGATTGGTCTATTCTATTAATGTAGGAAGCAACTTTAACAGCTCATCTGCTGTAATTGTATTCAGTAAATATATATTTGGTGTATGGTCTTTCCTGTATGCAGTTTCATTGCCTAAAACATTTTTCATTGTCTTCTTTTCTGTGTTGGTGTATATCTTTTCATTTATACAAAAAATACAGTATCTGTACCTGATTGAATGCATTGTGCAGAGTGAGCACATGTGCAGCCATGGTACCAGTGAAGGTGCAGACCAGAGGTCTTTCCATTCTCCAGTATCAGGACCAGAAGAGGAAGAAGAGGAACTAGATATAACATCTTCCCGTGACCTAGACAATGGTGATATCTGGCAACACAGCTCAGGCAGTGGAGGTGATGCATAACATTCATTACAGAATGTAATAGTGGTCATTCTTCTTCTTCTTCTTCTTGTAGCTTTATAACCCTATGTGGGTCTTAGCTTGTTCGACAAGTTTTTTTCCATTCTGTCCTATCATTCACAATTCTTCTCCATCCCCTCACTCCCATCGTCCTCACATCCTCCTCCACGTCGTCTATCCATCGTTTCCGTGGTCTCCCTCTCATCCTTCTTCCCATCAGTCTCCATTCCATCACTCTTCTAGTTACCCTGTTTCCTTCCATTCTTGCAACATGGCCAAGCCAGGCTAACCTTTTGCTTTTGATCAGCCTCACGATATCTGCTCCCTGTATGATACAATCTAGTTCATGATTCATCCTAAATAGTGGTCATTAGGCATTCTTATTAGGATTGTGTATAGTTAACTCTCTTATTTGAGATAAACAGTGTTTATAAATAATTGTATCTTGCCTGTTGAGATTAGAACTCAGAGATGATATTGTTAATTGCATTAGTGTAAATATTTAATGAGACTGTATGTTTATTTTAGGTGCATCTTCACCAGCTCCTCCTGCTTCATCAGCTAGCAGTGGTTTCTCAGATGATGACAGTCTTCATTGCGATCTAGGTCATGGAATGTCACTGGGACAATTTGTGGAGAGTGTCCGGAGTAGAGGTCGAGCCGGCCTAGAGCAAGAGTATGCCGAGATCAGGGCCCGCCCGCCCGATGGCTCATTTAATCATGCGCGGTATGGAGAGATAGTGTATAATAGAACACATAGTTAGCGGTTTTTATTTTGAATCTCAAACTACTTCTTTTGACTGTTATCTGGTCCCATGTCATAGATTTACGGCATGTAAAATAACCTTACGAGCCTGATACAGGATGTTTCGTAAGCAAAATTCAGTGGCCATTTCTCACCCAAGTCTCCTGATTTACTGCTAGATGGCTCTGGCAGTCAAATCAGGCTTGAGTAGAAATTGTGCAGTCAGTGGGCTGGTGACTCACTACTCACAGATGCACCATAGATGATTATAGTTTGTACATAAATGTACCATTTCAGATGTAAATATTGACCTCTGTGTTTAGATTAAGAGTATATATTGCTGGGGGCTGTATGTAAAAAGAATTTGTAATGATGAGCACTTGATAAATTTTATATTTTTATGATTTCACTGAAGTAATTGATTATATTGGAATGATAAGGTAATATTACTTGTCTGACCAATTGTAACTTTATAGTCCTTGCTTGTTACATGTATAAACCAATTTTTGCACCAAGCTTTTATCACATTTATCCTGAAGCTAGAGGCAGTAGAGTCATCTGAAATGTCAGAAGCTTCTTTGTACCTTATTTTTCCAATTATTGCTTAAGTTTTCCAATCACATTTGTGCCAAATGTGGAGCTTTTCAAGGACATAACAGCTTAATTTGGCAAGGATTAAGCTGCGTTAAATGTGTTGATTTATTTTTTCTCTTTGTTTTCCAGGCTACAGGCCAACCAGCCAAAGAACCGGTACACGGATGTCCTTTGCTATGACCACAGCAGGGTTCTGCTGTCACAAACAGATGGAGATCCCTGCAGTGATTATATAAATGCAAATTTTGTTGATGGTTATAAACAGAAGAATGCCTTTATTTCCACCCAGGGTAAAATCATTTGTACATTTAAACACCAGCTCAAGAATCTAAATAGAGTCATGTCATGAAATGTCTATTATAGATGATGTTTTTTTATGTTTGCTGTATGGTGTTTACAGGTCCACTGCCCAAAACATCGTGTGATTTCTGGCGCATGATATGGGAACAGCAAGTGTTGGTTGTCGTAATGACTACAAGAATAATGGAAAGGGGGCGAACAAAGTGTGGCCAATATTGGGAGGTAGAAGAGGGAGGAGCGGCCACTTATGGGGGCTTCCGAGTTACAACGGCATCAGTGGAGCAGCATGCAGACTACACGGTCTCCTCACTTCACCTCGCAAATCTTAAGGTAGAGTAGCTGAAGAGTTTGAAACCTGAATTCATAAGTGGATGCTCCTTTTCTTTGTTATTTTTATACACCGTTCCCTTTCATCATTGTCCTCCTGTATATGTGAAGTTAACGGGCGTCGTATAAAGCTTTCTGTCAGTTTTCTGTGTGACATCACCTGGTGCTATGGCTTGTAAATACCAGATGCAACACTTTATGCATTATATACTATATGATATATGATTTGAACTGCAGAATAAATGTGATGAATTCTGTTTTTTTTAACTGTTTGTATAACTGAAATGTTGTTGTATTTTTTGCAGACAGATGAGTGGAGGGAGGTGAGCCACTATCAGTTCATATCATGGCCTGATTATGGTGTTCCTCATAGAGCCCTTGCCATGCTAGACTTCCTAGATCGGGTACGGCAACAGCAGAGCAAGATGGTAACTACTTTAGGTGACACGTGGGCTGGAAATCCTAGGGGACCACCTATTGTTGTTCATTGTAGTGCAGGCATTGGCAGAACTGGTGAGAATTTGTTTTCTTTAGAGAAGGCATGCAACAATTATGTTCAATTGCGTATTCTGTATTCTTCTCTCGTCCCCTGTAAGTATGAATATTGCTAATATTATAAGTTTAAATATTTTTTTTCAACATAACAGAATGAATTTTGCTGTTTGCTTCTTTCTTTGGATGTTACTGTTGATGAAAAAGTTTCAGCTGTTAAGTCTCTGCTTGTGTCTGTTAACCCATCTGTTTTGTTTACTTTATTAAAGCTTAGTTGGTATAGGAGTCCACTAAAAACGTTTAGTATTTGGAAACAATAAAGCTCCTTGCCCATCTCCAGTCTTTTATCATAAAACATATTCATTATCTAGGACTAGAACAGAATTTATTTGTATTCACTCTGTGAATCAGATACTTTACTGATAATTGGTTATTGTTTAAATTTGCACATATTTTTTTTAATTTTTTTTTTCAGGCACCTTCTGTACATTAGACATTTGCATCAGCCGTCTAGAAGATGTGGGTACAGTAGATGTCCGAGGTACTGTCGAGCGAATTCGTTCTCAACGAGCGTGCTCGATCCAGATGCCAGATCAGTATATCTTCTGCCATTTAGCACTTATTGAATATGCACTTGCCAAACAACTCATACCTCATGTTGACCTCACTGGGTTTGAAAATACGGCTGACGATGAGTCTGAGTGAACCAGAGACTATGTAAGACAAAGTCATGAACTCTGATGTGTCATATGCTAAAATGACACACTGCACAAATGGACAAATGAGTGATAACATTTATTGAATCAGTATAAATAAGCTTCCTACATTATTAACATTTTGCGCAACATTATTACCAATAACGTATTAAAAAACTGATATAATGTTGCTTCCGAAATTAGACTGGACAGGAAGAAAGAAGCAAAACTGGAGCAGGATTTATGAGTATGGAGGTATGTTTTGAGTTTGGTTGGAACAAATGTGAAAAATACCTTCTTTAAGTACATAATATTATGTGTCAAGTAAATTTAATAAACAACCAAGCCAGGATGTTAACTGCTGGACTGGAGATGCTCTACATAATTATGTGTAACTGTACCTAATGCAGGGTGTCGTTATGTCTATTCTAGAATTCAAATCTCCTGCATTTGGCGAGAGCTACTAGTAGGTTACCATCGTGTTGCCAGCACTTGTACACTGAAAATAGTGGGAATCCAACATAATGTTTCGAAACAAGAGAATAATGTTTGTACTGTAATATACAAGCTTGACGCATCTCATAATTTCAGATTATATTAATTTTACATTCATATCATTGTTTAGACTGATTTACTAACAACAAAATATCAGCCATAATTTTGTGATCTGATTTCCTTACAGCATTCATGGTACTTTGTGAGAAAGAGTTATAAATGAAACTTCATAAATTAAAATAAATTAGACATAGGTCTCGGACAACTACTTTTCTGAAAGTGTGTTCTTCAAATATGAGATTGTTTTAACCAATATTTTGAATATATTTTTTCACAAGTTACAGTGGTTTTCTTGGGAAAAGAATAAATGTAAAATATGGCAAAACAGTTGAAAAATATAAACCTCTAGTTCTAGAAACATGGGTTTGCTATTGCATACTTAGGAACTTACCATCCATTAGCCTGTCGTAGCACCCAATCAGGCAACGCAACACAAATCTGAACATGTCTCAAATGTCAGGAAATTTGAATCTTACTGTACTGGTGTCATATCAATATTAAAACATGGAAAATTAAGGCCACTTTATTTCCTGCAGTCCTGAATGGATATCTCTTATAATAACATTATCAGTCACCTTATTTATTCTTGGTGTGACATTTATGTACCAGTATTTCAAGATGAAAATATTATTTGATGAGTTTATCGATGTTGCTTCTGAGAGACGAATGTACTGTAATTTATGAAGAACTGAGTGAGTCTGGATATCTTCTCTTCAGGTAGTGGTAACTTAGTTTGAATGGTGTAATGTTGATGGATGAACTGGTGCTCTTCAGTGGGTACGTGACACTGTGGGAACTGACACATAGAAGGCATTGTGTTACATTTACGCCAAAATATGAACTGTTGTAGTCAGTGTTTTTAACCATCAATATGGTTTAAGTGTACATTATTTCTGTACATAATAATTCATATTTAATATATATATATATCTACCAGGAATGTGATATGTGCATATTCAAAGCTGCTAAATATTTGTGAATTTTTTAGTCTTTTTTCTCAGTCTTTGTTACAAATACTTCCATAAATGTGTAATTTTACACAAAGAAAAAAGGGAACATATCAATAAGTGCTATTTAGAAGCAAAGTGACATAGTCATAAACCATATGGTTAACTTTTGATTTTAATAAAAAAAATTAAAACTTGGATTAATAACTGCTATAGTGGGGATAAGTTATGTGCTAGTCCAACATGAGCTTGAATTTAGCTCCTCTGTCATAGAGAAATGTCTGTAGTATGATTATTCAGAAAATGAGATACATTTTTCAGATAAATTGTGGATGTGATTAACTGTGGACCTGTGTATGCATACTGAAACTAGTAGAAGTCTCTGGCAAGCTGTTATTTTGTTAAAAATTTCTAAACATACACATTTATCTCTTCCATTCTATTCAGCCACAATATATTGACATTATTTTCTGAAAAATGCTACCTTGTAATACCAAATTTGGAACTTAAGATTAAAGTTTAAAATAATTTATTATGTTAAGATATGAGCACAAAACATTGGCATAGTTGCACAAAGTTAACTTCAATATACTGTTTGTATAGTAGTTTGCTGATTTGAGAATGTTTGGTAAGTAATGAATCTCAGAACAGTGAAAATGTGTTGTAATTGTGAAGAGTATTGTGCCACTGAAAAGATTTTGATGGGTATGGAGCTGTGATGGTCTTTTTACTACTTTTTTCTTACTATTATCGGTTCTCACATAAGACATGACTAGGATGTTGGTTTTTATAATATGATCACTACAATTTCTGGAATTCTTGGACATTTTTGTGGAATTTGATAATTACATTTACCAAGTAAGTTAAATTTTATGGTATTTTCAACACATAACTGACAATAATATAACTATGATTTTGGAGAACAAGTTCCAAAAGCCAGACACCTGATTAGAATGTTATTGTACAGTGAAATGTCATATAAGAAAATTTCTGTATGAATTTATTTATTATAACCTTTCACCTGCTAGCAACATTTGAAAGGACAAACCTCCCTATGCTGCTACCCTTAAGTTTTCTATTGCTGTTACTGTTGAAAAAGATATTAAAATTCACCTTTAAATAAATTAATTACACTGATCTTATTTAAATAGCACCTTCTCTGTTTACCTGTTCTTTATCCCCATCATAATTTCCATTCTTGCAACCTTGTGAGAGTTGAACAATGTCTTACATGTCTAAGATAGCTCTAATCCTACCCAACCCAAAAGCATCGAGCCAAGGGCTGTGTGGTATTGGGGTAGTGAAAGAAGCAGCACTGTTCATAATCCCTTTGACATCAGATGAAACCTGCATCATAATTAATCTTCCACTTGTAAGGGGCTCTGCAAATGGAGACTGAATATTTCTCAAGGATTTTGGGACCAAAATGGAGTTTGGTTAAATAAGAGATAACATTGAGGGGGTCCCCTAAAGGGAGATCCTCAGATAGAAATACGAATACTGAGTTGGCTAGTTAATCAGTAAGATGACAGTAACAACACATGCACAGTGGAAGAGGAAAAACTTAAAATTTCTGTATGCCTTTCATATGCTCATTTTTTGGAAGACTAGATGTTTATATTTCTATCTTGGCAAACTATTAGAATTGTGATTACAGAGATATAACTATTTTTAGAAATTTTGAAAGAAATAATGCATGAACATCTTTGGTTCATATGGGAAACATTGTATCCTGTTTCTATACTGGATTACTATATGCAGATGTGCCAAAGTATTTCTTGTAATTTACTGTCCCTATACCATTTTCTTTTAATTTTGTGTATTTTTACATATAGATAAATGTTAATAATGTGTGATTCACCTAAGTTGGAGCATATACAATGGTGTATTTGTGACAATAACCTCCATTAAATTTCATTATGAATTTTATGAATTGAAGACATTTTAAATAATAAGTGCTGACTGATCACATACTTTTATTTTTACATGGGAACCTTTTCTGGTGATTCAACTGCAAACGTGTTTGCTCCAGGTGATTACTATGAAACAGCTGATTTTTATAGATTCAGTGATTATCGTATTGGTAGTAGCAATCGTTGCTCTCTTTATGTATGCTCCTTTCGTTGCAATGGAAAGCAGACAGGCCTGTAAACATGGCTGACAGTGAGTCGGACAGTAGTCCGCACAGTGAACAATTTAAGGCTTTACCGCCAGGTCCTCGAGTAGTGACAATTTATAAAACAGAGACCGGCTTCGGTTTTAATGTCAGAGGACAAGTAAGTGAAGGTGGGCAATTGCGGAGCATCAATGGTGAATTATATGCTCCTCTTCAACATGTTAGCGCAGTTCTGGATGGAGGAGCGGCAGAGAAGGCTGGAATTCGGAAGGGTGATAGAATTCTTGAAGTGTAAGTCACATTTTAAAGAATATATTTTACGCTTCACAGTTTTGTGTGAAGTACATGAAAATGTTTCTTGGGTGTACTGTTTGTTGTTGAACCTCACTATAGTGTTTTGATTGTTGACAATGTTCCTGTACAACAAGTAATGGGAGGTGTAGTTCATTTAATCATCCAGTGTAGTGGGTGGAAAAGTTGTGCACTGTTGTAAAGATGTGGACATAATACATGATTCCTAAAGCTTTCTGTTACATTATATTTCATCATAGATATAAGTAATGCATAGTACTTCAGATTTCTTTCCAAATAAACAGTGTTATTTCAGTGGTTCAGATTAATGTTAAACGTTATGCCAGTTAAATATTTGTTATGATACCAGAAAGGAGGATTGTTAAAATAAGGGCTGAATTTTATATCCTTTCATGCGGTGTTACAATTACATATGTAGTATTTGTTGGGCTATTACTGTTATACATAACCTACATTTGCACAGAAACCTGTAATTCATTTAGTCTTTAAGCCAAAGTTGCTGCTCATGGTCAATTTTACTGATCTCAAGCAACCAAACTCTCTACAAAAGAACACCTCAAGAGAAATTTGTATGTTAATTTATTTCGGTTTATCCTCTGAAATTGATTATGTGCAGAATTTCACATGGTACACCACAGTTCTAATATAGTAGTGTACAGTTCTCATTTTGTGGATTTTGCAGTAGATTTTCTGTCTCCAATGAAAACTTCTCATTTTCTTTCTGGACACCATCTTTTACTGCAACAAATCTTCCAGTGCATATATGGTGATCAAAATTCCATTTTAAAGACCCTAATTTAATTTCAGCACAAAGTAAGGAAGTGCATATTTAAATGTAAAGTTTTATTTTAGCATCAGTGCCTCCATTTATCATTTAAATGTAATTACAATTAAAAAGGCTTTGTAGAAGCATCATGTTAATAGTACACACATACCCTTTCTGCTCTTGATAATTATGGTGACTGATTAGGTCATGGTTTCTGAACTTATATTCAGTTTCAAATTCACTATTCTCATTGCAATTTCAGTTGTTCCAAAAACCTTTTATAAATACATAATTTATTTACAGGAAATGCAACACTATAGGTACTGCAGTAATCTGTTTTTGCAATAGATTTTTGACATTATTCTATTAAGAATGAATACAGCTGGGGTTTTTCTCTCATAACAATGGCCTCTGTGTAGTATCTGTCCTACATATGAAAGCCATCTATATAGTTTAAATGGTTCATAATTGTTTAAAAGTGAATGTTTAATTGTGTGTGATTCTTCGTACATTGCCTCATTTTGTTTTTCATTAAGTAAGATGATACCAGTATCATGTATTTATTTCACACAAATGACAGCTAATATTGGTCACTTTTAAAACCCGATGTAGAGGGGTGTCTCAGCTTGTTAGGGAAAAGTATGTTAGGTTATTGTTTCTGTGTCTCCTCTAGTCAACATAACCCATTATCTAAGACTGGCATTTCATGTACGTGTTTTCAATGTGTGTGTTCTCTATGTTGTAGTGCACCTTTAGTGCCCATTCTGGGCTGTCTGTCATATCTTTTAACCAAAGAGGTCTTGTTGCCAACTGCCATTATCCTTACTAACTGTAATTTTAGTGTGAAAATAGATGATGTCCATAGTAGAAGTTTATAATTCTTTACAGCATTTTACACTTTTACTAATTTTTTTTAAAGAATTATGTAGTAGTATGCTGATTGTAAGGAATATAGATTGTGTTATGGGTCCGCAGTGGCCGCGCGGTCTGAGGCGTGGGCCTTGTACCTCTTGGTCGCTGGGACCGTGGGTTCGAATCCCACTCTAGCCATGGATGTTTGCGTTTTTCTGTGTTGTGCTGTCCTGTGTACAGGTAGAGGCCTTGCGACGGGCCGATCCCTCGTCCAAGGAGTCCTACCGAATGTCTATAGATCAAAGCCAACGAAAAGTTGGGACCCGCAGTGCTCAGGCACTTGAAGAACTGGTCGTTCCCAGTATCCCAGTATCCCAGTAGATTGTGTTGATAAACTGATGATAGGATGTGAGTGGTGGAAAGCCTGTGTGTTAGGAATGAAACAATCTGTTGTAGTCAAACTCAAATGATGGCACGGTAGAGCCAAAACACTTGTCAGATAGAGTGACATTAATTGTGATTAAAAGCAACTGGTTAAATGATAATACATATTAATTATAATAAAAGGACAGAAGACTGCAATATGACATCATGTAATGAAGCATACTGTCACTATGCAGTATGTGTGGTTACTGTTTAAAGGAATAGTTGGTTTGTTATTTTATACTGGGATCATCATTAAATAAACCACGGATAAAATTAAAAGGTGGTTAGGAATAATTTTACAAACTTAGGACCTAATTAGCCAGTTAGAAAAGTAAGCTCCTGGTGTCACTTAACATCACGTGGGAAATGAAGGATGATTAAGAAGGATTAATCATTAAGATACTGTTAAGATAATGTTTAAGATACTGCCCTGGTATTTCTAGACAGGAACTCTCAACTGGCCGTTTAACCCATCCAGAATCTAAATTATTTACGAGTTTTATTGTGGTATGACTTGGCTAAGAAAATGGCAGGAGTCATAATACACCATAATGCAACATGTAAACACTTTCTTTGTTTATGGGTTATGAAGAGGTAACAATCTTATATTATAATCCATGGGTTGATATTTAATGCCCTACTTTCAAATTTGAAGACGAATCAAAACTTCCTGACTTCTTCCCAGTTCCTTGTCTGTGAAGAAGTCAGTTTGTCATAGTTGAAGAACTGTTAGTAATGACAATTCTAATAGTTCTCAGGTTTGTGCTGAGTTTTCAGATGTGGGTCATTACGTTATGACCTCATTTTATACACTTGCTGTTCTCCAATACTTTTATTATTTTTCTTGTCTGTAATAATGTAATGACCTCAGCAGGATCACCAGAGCTTCATACCTGGCATGGTTTGTGCTGTGTAGTGTAATCGTATCGGATTATGTGTTTATCATTTCATTTTCGCTGTTGTTTCGGCTGAGACACATATCAAGTGGCCCGTAAGTAGCTCTTAGGTCATCACTTACAATGTGCATAGTGTGGACTGTAATTAGTTATATATTACTATAAATTGGTGTCCTCGTAGTGGCCTCGATTGTGAGTGAGTAGAGTTTTCTCGCTGTCACGTAAAGTACTGGCGAAGTACCGCATGTGTTCTGCATGGTATCGATCCACGAGCTGCGAGAAGAGGAGGAGGAGGATGCTTATGCACTTTGCATAGACGCCGTACCCCTCATTCATGTTGCTTTCGCCCAAGTGTTGGACTGTCGTCTCTGCACCGCACCCCTAAACACCTTATCAAAAGACGAAGGGGTTATAATGACCTCTGTTCCTCTCGTCTAGTTGCGTCTTCCAGAATGCGAAAGAACATTTGGTCTCTGCCGTCACTACATCGCCCAGGCTTCTGAAATCACAGTACGCGTGTCTAAGGAAAGGGGTCTTGATTATTTATCAATTTGCTCGTGCCCGTTTTTCGGTATCTTACCTTCTTGATATCAGTTTTTCAGTTCAAAGGTTTAATCTAGTACATGGACGAATACTTGGACTCTGTGCGCATTAGATAATATTAGATTACTATCCGCGCGAATGCTTTGACGATATCGTGGACCGTTTGACGAAATATAACTTACTAGATCGGCGGCCACCGCGTTGTGAATGTGATTTATTTTTTTCGCGTTTAGTATTGACCTTGCATATAATTAAATGTTACTGTCTCTGGTTTAAATGAAGTCGTTTTTTGTACGGCTTCTGTATTTTTTTTTCCCTTTGGCCAACTGCGCCTTGGAGTAAGGGCAAGTAACGGTCACCTTGACGGTTGGTGAATAATTGTTGTTCGTAAAAATAATTAATTTTCGTAGAAAGTGTCACGGTTAAACATTTTCATTTCAGTCGTGAGGGTGGGTGGTCATGCAAATCTCAGTACACGTGCTCAAAACTGATAACATTTAGACATAATGGACTTCAGTATCTACGTACGAGAATTTAGGTCCCGTCGGAACATGAGAGATGTGCGCTTGTAGTTGGTGGCCTTCTTGCAGTCAAGATTCGAAGGGCAAAGTACTGTGATGAGAACATGAACTTTAAGTAATTTTCCTCTTGGCGTGTTTGAAGACATAATAACCCCCGCGGTTAACCATAATAATTGGCGTTGGTATGCGACACTAGTGTTAAACCTTTGAAACAGAAGATCTTCTTAATAACATGTAAACGTCCGGTCCGTACGTAAAAGAAAACGTAGTACTTCCGCGTTACAAAGGTCAACTTATTAATGCTGTGTAAGGAAATACCAATACAGATACACTTTGACAAAATGCAAGATCACTGATTGCAAAAGCAGATGGTACATATAATTACCACCGGGCTTTACAGGGCTAATGCTACAAAATGTGCAACACTTCAGAGGAGTTGCGGAATTACTCGTTTTGAAAGCATTCCGCTCACCGAAATTTAATTTCAGTTTGTTCGCTACTTCCTCACGTGACTTGTAACAAGATTAGAAAGATGTAATCCGTAACGAACTTTCCACGTGAGGTTCTTGAACTTTGGCATTCTGAATGCTTCTAGCTGTTCGAAATTTGTTTGTTGTTGTCTCGTCACAGTGAAGGTCTGTAAGATATCTTGTATACTAGCTGACCTATCACTTTATTTTTCCTTATTATGAAACTGCATGGTAGTTTTATCTCCGTGGCTTGCCACCAAGGAGAAAGGCGGGCCGGTTACGTAGGAAGCATTCACCTTGTTGTGAGCTGGTAACTTGCATCCAACGAGAAAGTAACTCTGCTTCTGACTGTCCCAAGAGAACTCCAAGACAAACGTGGTAGTGCAACTCGTGTTTTGCCTCTAAAGTGGTATTTATTGCGAGTCGTGATAAAATATCTGTGATATTTGTGAGCTATGCTAAGTTATTATGTGGGCATACATACATCGCGTTCTTTGCATTCGCAGAGAAAACATGAAGATAAATTGTTGTGTGCTAGATCTCCGTCTGAAACGAGGTAAGAGGGATGTTTCTTAAAGTCTGCAGTGGAAACATATGATGTTTTGTAAGATGTGTTTCAGTACGTTGATACTGTGGAAGAACAAGTTTTGTTTGGCTTCCCCGTTCTTTAATCACCATATTGGATGATAAATATGTACATGTGGTAGGTCAGGCTTCCATGCAAGTACACTGAAATCTCGCTGTGTCAGAATCGTAGAAGATACATTTTCTCTGTTGCATGTTTTATTCGATGTTCTTTATTAGTCATCGAATGGATGAAAGATTTGTAGCAATAAATGAGATGTGAGTGATGGATTTGTTATATTTTCGTGGAATACCTTTTTCGAAGGGAATAATAAACTAAAGTGGATGGAGTCTTGTAGTAAAGAACGAATAAAAATCCTTGTAGGATAACAGACCTTGTCGGGTGTGCGAAATGTTTTGTTTTTTCCTTCGGATATTCGCCTGTAGAAATGCGTAATGATAATTGTTTTATGTGACTATATTATTTTAAAATAAATTTGTAACAAAATGATGTGGATCTAATACTCCTGCTTTGCGTTTGGGAGGTCCTGGATTCAAATTTTGGGCCAAGAGCGCCTGGTTTGAGGTTATTCTTTATTTTCTACAGACTCCACGTCCACCTCCTAGGCCAGCACATACTTTATCAGACCATTAAAATAGACCACGACTGCTTCCTTTCACATAATTTAAAATTTATAATTCAGAATCACCCTACCATTCGACGTTGTGGCCTACAACCAATAAGCTGAAAATCGTCGTTAAATAAATAATCAGTCAACTTTCGGGATACGCCTTTACACATTTGGTGGCGTGGTTGATTATTGATATCTCCTTTTGATTGCACTAACATTAATCCACCCATCTGCAGGTTGTTTGTGATACATGTTCATTATCCCGGTTTTGCAAGTCGTGAATGGAACAGATTTGGTTTGCTGAATCTTTTGTTGTATTTGCATACGTAATAACTAATATCTGCCAGTGGCATTGTGCTTCAGGTCTGCCTATTCTTTGTGTCCTTTCTACTGGTATAAGAGTGGCCATATCTCAGAATAACAATCTTCACGAAACTCTGTTTCAAAGTCATTTGGACAGCTGATGTTGGAAGACTTTAACTGCAACGTTAAACACATCCTTCATGCGCACTATTTGTTAAACGTCGACTAAAACATCTCAACGAAATTCAGTATCTCCCAATTTGCGCTGAACATTCCAAAATCAAATCTAAAAGTTCTTGATGATGGTGATGAGTCATTAGAATAATAATTTTCTTGGATATTATCCATAAAATATAAAACGTAAAAAACGATGTTTCGGAGATGGGGCTCTATATCCGTCTTCAGGTTCGTCGTTTTTTACGTTTTATATTTTATGGATAATATCCAAGAAAATTATTATTCTAATGACTCATCACCATCATCAAGAACTTTTAGATTTGATTTTGGAATGTTCAGCGCAAATTGGGAGATACTGAATTTCGTTGAGATGTTTTAGTCGACGTTTAACAAATAGTGCGCATGAAGGATGTGTTTAACGTTGCAGTTAAAGTCTACAAGATGCGCTTATATTATGTGTGTAGGACATTAAGACTGATTTAACAGTCAATCACTGTGCATAATGGTGAAGAACTGGGTTCTCTTTGAGGTACGGACTGTTTTCTGAAATGTTATTTAGACGAACTTCGGCATCAGAGAGTTGGTGAAGTCTGTCTGGTCTCGTGCGGATGTGAAGACAGGGCTTGAACTCCGTTTTGTGTGTGGCTTGTTGGTCTGCCGGGTTATCAATATAATTATCAGCAGTGCGTTGATTGACGTCAGCTGTCACTTGCAGTGTTATAATCAATCAGTTCTGCACTCGGGTGGACCACGAAGACTCCATTCCACCACAGCTCAATTCTCTCGCCATTCACTGCCCTCCGTTGCCAAAGCACAGTTTAAAAAACAACCGAACTTCGTCTGTGGACATCACAGAGACTGGATTTTAAGTTAATATTTTTTTTAAGTTTCCTTTAAAAATGTGGTTTTCATGTAGAAAATATCACCACTGATCTTGCTGCTATATACATTCTTTTAACATACACGCAATTACAAGTAGATGAAATATGTATTTTGTGATCGCTAGGAATTACGTCAAGTCTGGCTGAGCGTTTTACTTATACGTAACATCAGATATATACGTAATTATGCTGGAACACAACATTTTAATTAATTAGAACTTTTTTAATGGGGGAGAGGGAGTGCTTACTAAACTTTTAAGTGCAATCCAACAAAAGCACAATACTGTTCTTTAATCCGCTTGGTGACGATGTATGTTCTGTGAGATTTCATGTTCTCACGGCGGCAAGTATGAAGATGGCTGTCTTCTGGGTTGTTGTGCCTTGTAATGTGGTAGAAGTTTGCAGACGTTTCGGAGGTGCTTACTGCCGCCGTCATCAGGATGGAAATCGCACAGTTGGTTATCTAGAAGACTACACAGTATGACGTCCCAAAAGACAGTCAGTCATCATCATATTCGCTGCTGTGAGAACCGAAGATCTCACGAAGTGTATGTTACGTCGGCTTTCGAGGTTTGGGTGTGTAATTTTTTCCATCATTGTTCAGTTGTCATGTCTAATCATAGTCTGAATTTTCCTTTTGGAGTTCAGACACGTGGTGTGTTGATGATGTTTCAGCTTGGCAACAACGTCAACATACGATGTTGCTGAACCTCGAGAGGTGAAATTATACATCGACTCCGGTTACTAAAACCTAAAGGACGAGAATATTTATTAAATTGTTTTTATGCATAGGACATGAAACTTCGTTCACAGTGTAAGAGAGCAGTGCAAGCCTGTACAGCAGGCTATTATGAAATGTTAGGCATATTGTGCCCCTCTTTCCCACGCATATTAGCCAGAAGTTCAAATAGCAGACTTCCAACACTTTAGCTGGACCACTCTGCACATGCTTAAATATAGTTTTTTTTAGCAATTTCATCTTGCAAGAATTGTAGAGCTTCTTACAGCACAATCGCAAATCATCCATGAAGAATCTGGACTTAATTTAGTGAGAGCAGATGTAAATGCATATTTGGAATCTTTATAACTTCTCTGATGTACTTTGCAAGTCCATATCAAGAATATATTTTCCCTCTGTTTCAGAAATGGGGTTACTGTGGAAGGAGCGACACATAAACAAGTGGTGGATCTGATTAAGTCAGGGGGAGATGTACTCACTCTCACAGTTATTTCTGTTACACAGCAAGTAAGTTCCATCTGCTGTATGTAAAGTACAGCCATATCACAATTTTAGTGATCATGTGAACTACGGTATTCGTTCTACTTTATAATAACTCTAGAACAGCTGAACAGTTTTTTGTGAAACTTAGGATGGGTGTCATACCTTTTAAGGCTGACTCACAGTTACACGCTTCATTTTCTACAGTCTTTAATACCAGCGTGATGCTCTAACTTGTGAAGTGGGACGGTATCACTCGTGATGTCCGCCCATCTGTAAAATAAAGTACTTGGTTCTGGCTAATGTGTGTAAAATAGCATGTTTTTATTTTATTGCTTTCTTGAAGGAAGCAGAGAGGCTGGAGCCAACAGAGGATCCGACAGGTTATACATACATTGACTACAGTGAAAAACGATCTCTACCCATCTCGGTACCAGACTACCACTACTCAGAGAAAGCAGGCGAGCGTTATGTGGTAAATTACGTTATAATTATGTAGATTTTTAACTTTTCTTCCAAAAATATAATGAAAATTGATTATAGTTTGACTCATCATCTGAAACAATGTGTTATGCCTTGCAGTTATCATAAGCAATGTTATGGCACCTGGATGATGCCAGTTCTTTATTATTTTGCCTAAGTACTGTTTGAGTGTTTAGGGATGGGGCCCTACATGTTGATCTTCGCTCTACACTGATGTAACTGGTCAACCTTAGCTTCAGGAAAAGTGCCCTTGTCACCCACAGTGTTGGAGGCATTCTGGATGTGAGATGAGGATATGGGTCCTTCGGTTTCCCGTCAGAATCATTCCACTGATGTTTCATATTCACATATCATTTGTGAGATGGTCAGAAGGCCGCTTAATGGCTGCAGTTCCACAGCGACAGAGTGTCATCCCATCTTAACAATAAAAATACTGTTGGCGTCGCTACTTATTTTACTTTCCGTAGACTGCTTCGGTTTAATTCATTCTTTTATCCGTGTTTAATATTTATAATTCTGGATCTGAGACGTAATAAAACAACGGTGTTCTGCAGATAATGTTGTGAGTTAATTTTGTTTATGAAATTTATAATTTCTGCTCTTGCAGGAAGGAAACTAAGATCTATTAAATGAGCTGTCAATATTTGTTTTCAGGTGTTCAATATTTACATGGCTGGGCGACATCTTTGTTCACGGCGATATAGGGAATTCTCAAACCTACATCTTAACCTAAAGAAAGAATTCATTGGCTTTAACTTTCCTAAACTGCCTGGCAAATGGCCCTTCACGTAAGTTCCTTACATAATTTATTTAAGTACATTTCATCCATACATATATAAAGCTAAATAAGAAATTTATGACAATTTTATTATAATTTGATAAAATAATCACTCAGTAGTAGACATATCTTGTTTCGCTCAGTGTTGGTCTTTGGTTGTCCAGGAAATGTTGATGAGTCTAGTTTGTAATGAAGATTGCTATCTTCTGCGTTATTACGCCGTGTAGTCTGGTAGATTTCCAGGTGGAAATCCGCCAGACTACACGGCGCAATAACGCAGAAGACGGCAATTTTCAGACTCGCCCCTGTGAAAACCTCAAATCGTACATAGTTTGTAATGTCAGGTATGTTACAATTGATAGCCAATCAGGACTTGCATCATCAACTCTTTGAATTTTCTGCCCAATTGTAAACTCTTTTCTGGTCTATGTATTTATAGTTTTTACTAAAATGGAGGTGGAGCTGATAGCCATCGTACCATATCAGAAAATTGTTCTTGACTATTCCTTGTTAATGAAGAAATTCTTCAGGCAGAACTTATTCAGACATATAAACAATTAATATTATATAAATTTGTTTAATATATTTTGGTAATTTTTCAAGTATTGAAGTTTTATTGAGACTTTCTGGAGTTATCTTGTGAGAGTGGTTTTACCCGTGCATGTGCACGTGTCTTCAGGCTTAGTGAACAACAGCTGGATGCAAGGCGTCGAGGCCTTGAACAGTACCTGGAAAAAGTATGTGCAGTGCGTGTGATTGCTGAGAGTGATGTGATGCAGGAGTTCCTTACTGATGCAGATGATGAGCAGGTATTAATACTTTAAAACTCGGTGTTAATTATATGTACCACCTGCTTTAACTTTCAATAAACTCTGGATTTTGTACATGTAGTTAATTTATTGGTTTATTATGATTATCAGATTAAACAGCAGTTGTTTCCTTAAATAGTATTAGCTGACTGAAATTTGTAATGGAGATGCTTTTTGTATTCTTTGAGATACAAGCTGAATTTATGTTTATATATTCAGATGAAGTTTGTCCTCAGAGGACTGAAACTTTTAAAACTCGAGCACACCTTCATTTAGGTATGATGTTGAATTTTGAAAAATTTTCTGAACTTGTGAGGGCTTCTGAGTTCCATTTATAATGAACACACAAATGTAAGCGGAGATGATTATGAGAAAATTTAAAGTTTAATTGGTATAAATTTTAATCCTGTTTATAGGGAAACAGATTTTTAAGATGAGAGTTTTTAGGTTCTACTTTCGGAGTGGTAGTTAAATAGTTATATCTGATAGTGTATAAGTAAATTGTCCAATTTTGTGTTTACATTTCTTTGTAAAAGAGGACATATATTTCTCAGAAATTTAATTTGAGTTAGGAGAATTAAAAAATATAAAAGTGAAGTATCTGTCCCTAGCCCTCCATATAGATGGAAATACAAGGGAATAGAGTTAGGAATGTCTGTTCCTTTCAATATGGGGGGTATACCATTAAGAGACGGCAAGTAAAAACAGTAACCTGGTGTCTGTTGACTGATATTTTATTAGTGTTGAAGCTATAATCGCAGTCTCTGATTTTTGTAGGGTAATGTGTCTCCAGTAGACCTGAAAATCCAGCTGCCAGATCGAGAAGTTGTCACTGTTACCGTCCGCAAGAGCTCCGACACTGAAGAGGTGTATGCAGCCGTCATTGATAAAATTAGAATGAACAAGAATACTGCTAAATATTTTTATCTCTTTGAGATTGTCGAATATAATTTTGGTAAGTCACATGGGGTTGTAGACTGAATTACTCTGGCTGAGGCCCTCGTGAACATTGTAATGAATTGTAACTAGCCGATTGGATCGTCAGGAAGGACTTTATTCAGTGGAATAATATTTTGCTGACACAACCTGCCAGACTGTCCATTGGTTCTGAATGTCTTGCTGTTTTGTACTTCCTTCATTCCAACATTGTAAACAAAAACATTGGAGCTAATATAAAAAAGGATGGACATGCTGTAGTTGAAAATCCTATGCGGACTAATGAAAATGTTTTTTACTTTATTCAGAGAGAAAACTTCAGGCCACAGAGTATCCTCATAACCTGTATATCCAGAACTACAGCACCGCAACATCTACGTGTTTGGTTGTACGAAAATGGCTGTTCTGTCTGTCCTGGGAACTTGGTTTGGCTGCTGATGACCAGGCAACTATGTTCATCTTCTGGCAGGCTGTAGATGATGTAAATCGAGGGCATATTAGAGCAGATGACAGGTTATATCAGCTAAAAGCTCTTCAAGATGCATCAAGAAAAAATGAGGTAACAAATTGTCACTTTGATGTCATTCGCTTACTTGGGAATCAGCACCGGCAAATGAGAATTCCTGTCACAAAGAAATAATAAATGTTTGTGCTGTTATTATGGTACAAAGAAACAGTGTGAGAGGAATGAATTATATTTAAGACTATCAGAAAGAGCTGATAAATGTATAAATGCTTAATGATGTGTCATACTGGTATTAATACATTTAGTCTCATAAAACGCAATCATGAGTTTATCATCAGTAAGAAATTTTATAAGCAACTGTGAATATGCTGAGAGTTTATCACTGGGTAATGACGTCCAGTAGCACAAATGTCTAGAAACAAGTTGGCATCAAGTTTCTTTGAGATTGCATGACAAATCACATGTTATCTAGTAATTTTACATTATAATTTTCATATTAAATATGATTGCATAATTTTATTCCATTCTTTGAGATTGCATGACAAATCACATATTATCTAATAATTTTACATTATAATTTTCATATTAGATATGATTGCATAATTTTATTCCCTTTCCTCTTTCCATATTTTATTGTAATTATTGGAAATGTTAATTCAGAAATATTTTTCTTGGTGTTTACAGTATCTGCAGTTAGCGCGTGAACTCACAGGTTATGGAGAGGTAGTATTTCCACATTGTTCTTGCGATTCTCGTAAAGAGGGGCACGTAATTGCTTCAGTTGGTGCCGCTAGCTTTAAATTGGAAGCCTGTAGAGAGGATGGAGCCCTTGAGGTAAAAGGAACACATTTTTTATCTTTAGGCTCGGTCATATACAGGACACACATAGTAAAACTATTTTTTCTTTCTATATCGTAGTATAAGAGTACAAAAGTGTCATAAGAATTACAGTAAAAATTTGTTAATTTGATTATTCAAAGTCCTGAATGGTGAAACATTACAGTAAAAATTTGTTAATTTGATTTTTCAAAGTCCTGAATGATGAAAACAAATGCTAACAGTTCTCAGTGTTTATTTAAACAACAACTCCTAATTGATTGTTTGCATGTTTTGGATTCGGCTGTCTTGACCACGCACTTTTCAGATCTCAGCCTATGAGATTTCTGAAATAAAACCAGAGTCTTATTTTGGAAAGACTCTGTAAGTGTGTGTGAATTGTAAAACTTTCTGGAATTATTTTGTATTACAGTCCCAAGTGGTAGAATTTGCATGGACAAGCATTAAAGAATGGGATGTGGATGATGAAGCCATGGCTTTCTGTTTCCAATACCAGCGTCCTGAGAAGAACCCCCGCTGGGTCAAGATCTTCACACCCTATGTGAGTTTACATTCTTATAGCCAAAAACCCCCAGTATAACGAGGAAATAAAGAGTTGAAAGGACAGTTTCTTTTCTTAAGACTTCACTAATTTTCACCGAGATCACGAAGTACAAGGTACCTGCATCACGGGATGGAATATGATTATTAACAATGAGTGCTGTCATGCAGGAAAATACAAGACGGTACATAAAGAAGAAGGCAGTATAGCATAATTGTCTCCAATATCAAAATAAATTTTCTAATTTATAATTCAGAATCATCCTACCCCTCGGAATTGTAGTGTACAACCAATATGCTGAAAATCATCGTTAAATAAATAATCAGTTGATAGCTCAGTCATATAGCGACCGACTATGTACTGGACGACTGTGCTTTAGTCCCTGACAGGCAGAGAATTTTTCTTCTAGCCTCTGCATCCAGACGCTCTGGGGCCCACCCAGCCTCCTGTCCAATGGGTACCAGGATCTTTTCCCAGGGGGTAAAGCATGGCCAGAGCGTGACACTGGCCACTCGGCCCCGTGTAGTACCGAGGTTGAGAATGAGTAGGAGCTAAACCTCCTCTCCCCCTAAACAGCTACATGATGTGCAGTGGGACGCTTTACGTTTACTTTAATTACATGAATATTTTTATGTTGATTTGTGGATACGGTTGGAGGTAATTGCTGCCCAATTTGTGTGTGTGTATTATAAGCAGATTTAAAATGGTGGAACTTATATTGAACCATTCCTCTGCAGTTTTAATCCTTTATTAAATGGATTCAATGTTCCCAGGAAATGAATAGCAAGTGGTAAAGTATGAAACACGTGAAGTGACTTCGTATTCTTTTGTTCTTTCAGTATATCTTCATGTCAGATTGCTTTGAGAGGATAATGGAAGAGAGCAAATGGGCGGACACGGGCGAATGACATCAGGCAGTTTGCTAGTTACTGACTGGTTCACTGCATCGCTTCCAGCCGTTTGTTATTAGATCACTTTTGTGCTCACTACCCACCTGTGTACCCAACTGATCTGGAGACTGCAGTGCGCTGTACTCGACTTTCAGGAAAGTCTCGCGTCTCACATATTGCATGTTACAACCGCCTAATTCTGGCCCACATCCGGAATTTGGTATACTTTAACTTCTTAATGAAACTCATTTGGTCTTGGCGGCATCACGAGGGTAAGGAGTGCGTAGGCCTGCCGCGCTATGCTCATCTCGCCCAGTCGGTCTGTGCACTTGACTGGGTGCCTCTGTTCGACATTGTTCGGCCCAGTTTTAGCAATAGGTGTTATTTGTTGAGTTGAAATTCAGAATGCCCATTATGTTACAGCTTTCGCAGGAACAGATAGATTGGATATTTCAAGTTTACGATTGTATGCATTAGTCTCATTGGTTGTCCTACGGTTTATGTGGTGTCTTATAATTACCGGCAAAAATACTAAATTGTCTGATTTTAGTCCAATGCTGTAAACGTTCAAATCCAACATGAAATTCATGAGGGGGAGACTTCCAATAAATCAAAAAATAATATTAATAATCCACTTCTTCTTCTTCCTAAGATGTTTCCGCTTTATGTGGGTCATCTGGATGTTAATAATTATAATAATAACCACGTGAGAGTAAAAAATTTTGTAATGTGCCTTTATAGACTGAAGTGCATGCGATGCTGGTTCAGTGCTGGGATGAAACTGTTATTTCAATCTTTCTGTTCCTAGTTTCTTATTTTGAACAATCTTCATGTGGATGGCTGTCTTCTGGGTTGAAGTGTCTTGTTGTCTGGTAGAAGTTTACCGTGCAATGAGGCCCGATGCTGGAGGCAGCAAGGACCTCTGAAACATTAGTAAACTTCTACCAGAATACGCGGTGCTACGCCTCAGCAGATGGCCATCTTTGTAGTCTCAACTGTGAGAAACTCGGATCCAACCTTCGTGAGATCAGATTTCAAATAGCTTGTCTGGTCTTGTATTAAGTGTATAGTACCCTAACAATAGAACCAATCAAAAAAGAGTATTTCTACATATGCCATTGGTTCTTTACCTGCATATTTTCAGCAGAAAGTTTTTAGGTTTAAAAAGATGCCCGCTGTTTCATTTGGTGCTTCAGCTTTGTTCTGCAGGCAGTAATAAATTCTTTTTCTCCTCAACCCAGTGCTGAGACTGACTTGACATTCTACTTCTTGACCTGACAACGAGGAGCACGTCAATTTATAAACATAAACACGTACTCACGTTGACCTTCCTACTTGCGCACCTTAGCTGCAGTGACGACAGTTTGTGTAGATTTGTTAGGTAAAGTCTATTTTAAGACAAGGCAGCATATTGTAAAAAAAATTCTTCGTTATTATGTACCAGCGTGTCGTTTAAATTGTTTTCAGTTGTTTTATTGCGATTGGTTTGTTAGAATCTGTACACGTGAGAGTAACGGTTGAGCATCGTTACAAATCGAAGCATGCCGCAGAAAGTGAATAGGCGCACGTGTTCATATAGCGTTTAGTTTGTATTGCTGTCTGTTGTGGGTAGAAATGTATTTTTATCATCATTGTATATTGTATATATTTTTTGCGCTACTTGGAGATATATATCACCATTCAGAAGTAATCTTCACATAGAGTGATGCAGTCTTTTTCTGTTAAACGGCGTTTTCTGGTAAACCAGACGGTGACTCTGCCCCCAACTACAGTAGCGTAACAGCTGTCATATAGTGGAGTGAAATCACTGCAATAATAATCGTAATTGTTCGATACCGTAGATTAACGGACACCGTAATAGAGAAATTTCTCATCATTCTTCATCGGTTGCATTTGCCAGTTGTGGGTTATTTCAGTAAAATGAGTACTTCTGATGTAAATTATAATCATTTTTAATATTATAATTTTATGTACCATGTATTCACACTGTATATATATATATACATATATTGTTTGTATAATATGAATATGGGATAATCAGTTATTATTGTGTAAATAATATATGCAGTCTGTATTCTAAGGTAAATCGATAATTACGCGCGTAGATCGTGAAATCCTGTATATTTATATTGCGACTGTATCTCGGATGTTGGATGCTGGCTGCTGCTCGGCAGCGAGACGTCTTCGGTACTCGGGGGCACACGCAGGTGGTCTGGTACGATTTAGGGTTGGAGGTGTAAGGTAGCTACACTGAATGTCGGCAAAGCTCAGGCGGTGATCTCACCGATGGTAAATAACAACACTAGTAAGTAATATATACTGCTCTGTGTTTCTGTACAAGTAAGTAATCGCACAGATGCGCTTCATACTTCGTTCGACCTTCATTATTATAATTATAAATCAGATCGACATGTCAGTTCTTAGGAGGAGCATTTTAATTGAAGTCTTACAACCCTTCATGCCACGTGGATACGAAATCCTGAAGACCGACTTCGTTTGTGCACTGTTTATTTGTTTTGTTGTTGTAAAACAAATAAACATTGTAGACTGGAAGTTGGTTTAGAAGATTTCATGAATTGAATAGTACTTGCATCCTGAATCCTGAAAATTTGGAGAAGTTCTGCACGGGAACAGTTCGTGATGCGTGTCCAGAGCATGGAAGGAATGGCGTTCAGCTGCTCCAAGCAAGTAAGAACAGAAAGTTCTCAAGCCTTGACCTCAAAAAGGCTCTATTCATCCCATTATTTTTTCCTCCATTGTAGACCTAAAGGTATTACCTGCATTTAAGTATCTTAGTCTTAGGTTTTCCCATCCATTTCTTTGAACATTCCATACACCTGCAGGCGGGCTAATCCACCCTAATTCGCCCGTCTCGGCCTCCGCATCGTCACGAGCACAGTGAACAGAAGAAGGTTTATATCAGTCGTGGTTTCAAACTTATATGCGTCTCATTAAATTTAACGTGCAATCGGTCTCACCGCGCTATCATGAAAATTCTTACATATTAATTTCTTATTGATTAAAGAAAGTGTGTAGAGTACAACGTACATTTATTTTCGTGCTGTACTGCAAGTAGTGTGGATGAATCTTCTTCGATGCAAATAATTTAGATAGAATATAACATTTTGTGTGTCAATTAAGGATTGTATGATAAAAATATTAGTAGAGGAATTACAAGCATCAAGACTCCATAATGGGACAAAAGGATTTAGTTATCGTGGGCTTGTAAGTGCGGTGAAGTTGAAGAGTGGTTCATTCCTTCGTGTTTGACAAAGCCCGCATGGATTGAGTGAAAATTAGTGCTGATATTGTTGGTTTGTATGTTTATATTTTGGTATGAGTGCAGGCATGCATGTGACTGGAGCTTCGATGATTATATTACTCTACTCGGATGGCTAAAACCCAGAAGAGGGCCATCTTCATACTCGCCTCCGTGAGAGCCACAAATCCTGGTTATATTACCATTCTTTTCTCCCGTCTGATCCACCGTTTGCACATTTTCAGCTAGATCCACAGTTGCGTAGATCCTAACACCATTTTGATATTGAAGTACGTAGCTCCGGTTCCTAGTGGGAAAGACGTGTAGAACGTTTTCTTTGCATTGCTCATTAGACATGCAAATTAACCAAAGTGATCTGCTTGAAATGGTTCCTGTTCCGCATTTCATTTCTAACTATAAACAAATTAGAATGGATACAAATTTTTGAAGATTACTTTGGCGCAAGAGAATTAAAAACATTTACGTTACTCTCAAAATGATTTATCGTTAAATACATGCGTCATCAACAGTACTGAATGTTTTGGATCGCCGTTAGTTGATGCAGCTAACATTTGGTTGGGTCGTGACAAATACCGCGTTACTGTCTTTGTCTACGAATTTCAGTCTCCAAAAATCTGAAAAATGCTTCTGACGTGTTTTTCTCTGAAAATGTTAGCTGCAGTGTAGTTATTTAACATTCCAATGATGGTAATGTATCAAGTTCCTGCTGCAATAATACTAAAACAGTTGTTAATGTTTTAGTCAAGTTTTGATTTGTCATTATATTTAAAAGTTATTATGTACAGTGGAATCAAAATACATGGATTGTAATAACATCCAGTGTTTTATGTTCATAATAAAGAAGTATTGTAAACCAAAATCTTCTTTTGTTTATCTGAGTATACAGTGGATTCTGGTTAATTGGGACACATCGGGACTACAACACTTTGCCCCAATTATGCGAAGTTCCACGTAAATAGTTAAAAAGGTTTGTTCTTTAAGATTTGTCCCAAATAAATGGCTGCCCCGATTAACTTTATTACATATCGATGACAAACACGATGTTTCTAACTGGCTAAACTGTAAACCCAGGGCGTAATGCGAGGCCTTCAAGACATCCTTTACCATGGAGTTACTTATAATAGTTTCAATCCTGGGAATCGCTCACAAAAATTCTTTTAGCAATGAGCATTTACATCTGAAAGCTAGAGAATAATGACATGGATGAATGGCGAATATAATAAACGAGCGCGTCTGTGTTGTGAGACTGTTAAAAGCGAATGGAATATAATAAACGAGCGCGTCTGTGTTCTGAGACTGTTAAAAGTGAATACATTAGACGTTCGACGTGAGAATTATTTAATGATGTGAAAGTTAGGTTAGATACGTGTCCTGTTGTCACTTCGATTACACAACCGTCTTATAAACGGAATACTGTGATATAAGTGTGCAAAGCACAACCTTGCTGAGTGACGTCGCAAGAATAATGAAGAGTCTTCACACCCTAAAAAATTATTAAGATTCATTACTCTCAGTTCTTACGCAACTAATCGCAGTTGTAAACCAGAGACTGTTACAGCCATCTTCAAGAAATTAGTACTGATTTCAATGATTAGACTGTAGAAACAATAGGCTAGGAAAAGTGAGCATAGCTTAGCATTTCTCATGCATTCGCCATAATTTAAACTTTGACCTTCGTTAATTTCTTGGTATTACACAAGCGAGAATTTTCCTGTTGGAAATTCCCAACCCATTTACTCTGGAGTGAAGAAACGCTTTTATTGTCTGATTTTCACCAAAATTCTAATATGTTGATAACACGTTTCAATATAATTTTAATACGTACTTATCAGGGGTGATGACGCGATAAAGTATTGCTGGGAAGAATCTATGATGCCACCATATTTATAGTTTTTGATAGAGAAAATTTCTTAGAATTCGGTTCTATTATAAGATTTTAAAAAATCCGTATAATAAATGTAATTCAAAATCTACGTCGTAAAATTGGGTTTATAGCCACGGCAATATCGAACCACAAGCGGGACACTTGCGAGATAAACTTCCAGCTGATGAATGAAAAGCTTTTTCTGAACATAGAAACCTCTTATAAGGGTCGGTACAAGAAAGATTCATCTATTTTCTTCATTCTCTAATTTCCTTCGCGTAACTGCTTGATCAAGTGTTTTCAGAGCACTAGAGCGTCAGACAACACACAAACAAGACCATTAAATGTACTGACCTTCTAATTTCTTTGACAAAAAATGCATTCCATCCTTCAGCGACTAATCTGTTGAACTTCAGCGAGCTGTATCAAAATTAAAATGTATATGGTATCTAGTAATGGCCTTCTTCTGTGTTGTATCGTCGTGTAATCTGGTAGAAACTTACCTTCATTTCAGAGTCCCTTTCTGCCTCCATCACCAGGGTTGTTGTCCTGTTCATGGAGACAGAAAGTATAATAGCAGAATTACCACTGTCCCGCTAAAATTACGTCTGCGTTTGCTACCCCATATTGTTAGGTCTACTTGCAGAAGTAGACAAATATTCTAACATTTTAAAACATTGTTAGACTTATAGTATGCTTTCCTTTCTCAGAGAACGCAGTAGAATTGTATATTAACTTTTTATGTTTTATTTTGATTATCCGACGTGTTTATTTACTAGGACAGGTCCAGTAAAGTTTACTCATGGAGACGTCCTTATAACCAAAATGTTTTGGTTTTTTTTAGCTGTGATATAAGTAAAGAGGAGGATATCATCTGAATTGAGAACGAAATTCTAGAGCTACAGACGTTTCGAGGGCTAAAGAACAAACGAAACCCCCCCAACATAAAAACATTTTTCCAGATATCGAATTATATATTAAAATGTGCGTGTTTATCTTTTGACAACAACCAAAATACGAGTAAAACGCATCGTACACTAGGCAAGAACGAAATCGTGTTACTGACATTTCAGAGGTTGTAAGTTCCACACTAACAGAGCTCTTCCTGCCGGCAAATAGCTGTGTTCATGCTAGGCGAACACAAAATGGTTTATTATGTGTGAACGCTGATAGTAGGGTATGAGCGAAACTGAAATGTTTGAAGTCACCATGACATCACTTCATTTCGTCGTGTTACAGGCCACACTAATAAAATCAGACTATAGGCCCAATGGTCAAATACACACAAAGTCCATTGGCTCTCATTCTAAAAATCCTGTCACAGCCCAGTGTTCTGCAATACAAGAACGGGTGATTAATGATACTACGTCCATTTACTTACATCTTAAGTACGCAACATGTGATAGCAGTGCACGTGTTCTGGATTGAGATTAGCGAACCAAAAGCATTGTATCAAATGAACGAAGCTTAAATGCCAGAAAAAGGACACAGATCAAACTCAAGCCCTGCCAAATTGCGTCACAGCTCCTTCCTAGTTGGTTCACCGCACAGCATTTCAGAAGTCGCCATCCTCTGAAATCGTCCACTACATTTTTCGAAATCGGATGTTTTAATTATACACAAGGATCGATTCCGCTCCTACAACATAATTTAATTACTGTCTTTTAAGTTCTCATGGTGATCCGAAAAACCTTCTGTTTTAATTGTCTTTGTCCTGAAACCGTGTAGTAGGGGAAAAGGTTTGCGACGTTATCCCCCCCCCCAAAAAAAAAAAACTTCTGCCCATAAATATCAAAACAGCAACAAAAACCATAAACTTAAGGAATCCTTAGTCGACTGCCGTCTTACGTAACACAGGTACGTAACAAGTAATGCAGCTTTTGAGGGAAACAACGTGTGTTTGAATGTCAGTGTGGGCACCTCGCCTGTTGTAAACCGGTTTGTATACGCAGATATTACGTCAGTGATACTGAGTAGGTGATTTACAAGGAAGATTCCGTAAAACTTGGCGTGGTCGACCGTCGAGTAAAGGTGAACACTGTCTTCGTTTCAATAACTGGAACCCTGCCCCTAAGTGTCGTGCTTAAGTAGTACACAAGTCATCAGCAGGCCCTCCCCCCACCTCTTCTGCTACACCAAGACAGTGTTTTGGTGTCCTTCGTGTTTCCCTCTCTTGGAGCGCAGCTGACTGTTCCGAGTTCAGTGTCAGCGGGGGAAGCAGTCGAGAGGGCTTACCGGACTATTCATTAGTCACCTGCTCTGCCTAGGAACCAGGACTTCTCGGCTCGTGCATCGGACAGAGCGTTGCAGGCTAATTTGTGGCTGCAGGTACGTAAATAACACCGTCTATTTTCTCTGCGCTCAAACTCGCGGAAATAAAAATTCGCTCGAAATAAACATGGCTGGGATAATGCTGGACGTCTATACGAAAGGTGAGATTTCAGGTTATCACGGCGGAGAACATGAAGATTCCTTGTTTTCTGTGTTACTCTTTGCAGTCTGATAAACGTTTCGGAGGTTTTGATGCTTACGTCTCCTTTGGGGTTGAAGTTGGAGACAACATGTTTCTCAGAAACGTCGGTATGCTTCTGCATGTTAATTTACTGCAGTCGTGTCGCACTATTTTCAATCTCAGATCTCAAACACTTTGCTCACAACCGTTTCTCTGTTCTGTACAGGAAATGTTTAAAACGTTCGCTGAATTAGTGCGTTGAGCCCGAATTTCGTTGTCAGATTTATGATTTTTTCCGGGCGCAAAATCATGACCTCTAAAACTTGATATGTGTTCGAAGTTGTTTATCTTAATTCGATTTCATTATTAAAGGTAATGCTTATGAGAATCGCAGATGCGTTTGTATTATGTGTGTCTTCGATCGGCATTAATGCGAACAGTACACACATTACACAGCAGAGTTGCAAGACATACAGACTTAGTGTCTTCACTTAACTTGTGTTCAGTGTGTCTGAATATCTTAGCTTCTTTGAATACAAACTTTGGTGGTTTATAGCAAGTTAGCGAGACAATTAGTATCGAAAAGAAAAGAAAATTTCTTAAGAATAACAAACTCTTTCTGTAAATATATTTTTGTTTCTTGTCGTAACAAGCATCACTAAGTACACAGAATTGCTTTTGAATTGGCATAATGCAACTTTAAATATTTATTAAAGTGATTTAAGTATGGTACAGTTTAAATATACTACATTCAGGACATTGTGATTGTCCAAAACTATTAACATCGGAATGACATTATGGAGATATATTATTTTGAAATTAGCGTGTACTTGCTTTGCGTTCTGAGTTTGTTCTGTTCTTCCGGTCGGCCGACCTGCATCGTAATTGACCCTTTGTGGTTTCCACCAGTTCATCAGGAAATAAAGTTGACTGTGGCCAATTCTCTACGTAATCTCAGTCAAGCGCCTATACGAATATACGTCCATAGCTCAGTTAATGTGTTGACAAGATGAAGACAACAGACTAATTTGTCTTTTACTTAATGTAACAACTAATGAAATAAAATTTTACTTGAGTACATTACCGCGTAACTTGTGTATGATCTGAAGCATAACTTAAGATTCTTTCTGTCATAGTCTTCAAGGATTAATCAATTTAAAACATGAACCAGCTGCAAAAATTATCTCTTCATTGTCCTCTTAAACTTGTGCAGTCGATTCACGATACCTGTACTCATTAATTTCATCTACGTGATCCTTTTATGTTTTTATAAGTGCAGTAATCTCTTTAACTACATTATCTATTGCAATGTTTAAACCTCGACTTTATTTGTTTAAATTAGACAAGGATATGAACGTCGTCTTACCTAATTTTGTTGTACATTTAACGATCCTGTCAGCAGCTCAGAATATATCGCATCGAATCATGGGATGGATAGTAAATTGGAAAGGGTGTGGCAAAGACATAATTTACGTGGAGGGACTGAGGAAAACATCTGAATACTGCAGTCCGTATAGCCGATCTCAGGGCCGAAATTTGAAACCGATATTTGTAATTTGATGTTTAAAAGTTAGTGAGAGTTTGTACTGTGGTCTTCTTGATTGTGACACCCTATGATCTTGTAGAAACGTTTCGGAGAACCTGCTGCCTCCATAAGACCCTGATAATTGTACTGTAAACTTGGTATTGCTTTCTATATTGTATGTTTGGATTCTGACGATAATGTGATATAGTCGGGTTTATTCGGTTTGTGGACTTTGTCCATCGTTCAAGGACTTTTCGTAAACAGGATCCGTTTTCGTCTTCAGGTGTATGGGGCAAGGGCGCCTACTGTGTTGGGGCCGATAGAAAGAGCTAGTCTCAATCACTGGACAACCTGGGTGTGTTCGTATTTAGAGAGAATTGTAGATGTCCACTATGGTTCAGACATTTCGTGCATTTTGAGAGCAATGATTTGATTTGTTGATGCAATCGTCCATTTTTTTTTCCTTGCAGGAAGGAGACGTGCAGGACTGCAAGCGGCCACTTCATTTTGACGGACGGAACGTTCATTATCAAACGAGATAAGTTTCTGCTGACAGGACTGTGCAAGTTTTACTCATCACTTCCTAAGAATATATTTTTAAAGCGCGGATGTTACTATGTCTCCCAATTGGTGATAAATTATTCATGACAGGAATCTTCGAGGAAAGTCCTTCGAGTGTGGTTTGTGAAATGGTGTAACAGTGGATGTTATCAAACGTGCTCCTTTCTGCTTACAAGTTTCTTGGTTTGAAGAAAAGCTGGAAGTATGAATACAGCCAGAATTCCGGTGAGTATCAAGTACAGCTTCCAAAGTTCTTGTGGTCCGTCCTAGAATTATTTTTTGCGCACTTTGAGAGAGGTGTGTACCTGGCACTTGTGACAAACTTTAAAAAAATACCGGATGCTACTTTTGTACAATTAATTTAAAAAGTTTAACTTATAACTCCAAAGCTTTACGAGTTATGAGGTTTATTTATATTTGGTTAGGAAGCATTTCATATGATTTTCAATGAGTAGTGTGGGGTATTATTTAAGTGTTTTATCGAATTAATTACCAAAGAAAAATCTCGTGTACGTAAATCTTTTAACACGGTAGAGGTTATTTTTTTAGCACTGTATTTAAAAAAATACATTTGACACAACTTAAAAGAATAGACAAAGATATCAGGCAATGGAACAAGTATGTCTGGTAAATTTCAGCACAATTTTATACTTCCGGGTTTAATGAGTATACCGCATCGGGGAGAAATTAAGAGATTAGTTCATTTCTAAAAGAAATTTTGAGATTTTTCATGTATGTGTTCTTTTTAAGGCCTTTATGTTGACCCGTTAATTAATATTCGCGAAAATAGGTATGAAGATTGTACTATTGAGATACACGAAAATGGTTACTAGTCTCGTAAACTTTCTCAAGCAGGCGGGGACATGAACGCTCTTAGCAAGGGGATATAAAACGCCATTACAAATTTTTAACAAAATGTTCAATATTAGACTGCCAGTAGATACTTTTGGAATATTTTCCACTGATATTATAATATAATATAATATAACTTACATGATTTTCTGGACTGGAGTGGCCATTTTTAATCTATTTTTGTCAGGTATCTTCAGGAATCTCGATCTATTAACCCCCCCCCCCTCGGGAATACGATACATGCTAAAGCCCCACGTAACTCTAAACTCAGCTACGGTTAGGTTCTGCTTTGTGACAAACTCATTTTTCGCTAGTTCGATCGCTGGCGCCTGTGCCCCATTATATCGTGGTGGTTCCACGTTAAGTAGGACATTCTGTATATATAGCACTGCTGTCGGTTAAGAGGCGCCTCATCTTACAAGACTTCGCTTCTGTATGCTATTCAAGCGAGGTCGGCTTTGTGTGTTTGTTTAAATAAAATAATTTATGAGACACCTAATTAAATATTTATACTATTTGTGCCTTTCTTGTTTGCTGTGAAGTGTGTATCGAGTTTTACGTCATAGATTGCGTTTTCGCCTTGAGAAGTGTTTACATAAAGAATTATGAAAATTAAATACAAATAAAGATGTTTGTCTCCTTAATAGCAGAAGATAAATTTGTTTTCCAGTTACAGACTACTCTTAACAACTATGTGGTTTCTCATAATGCAAAACAGGGGTGGAGAAACACATGTACGCGCTAAATAGGACTATTTTGTAATGAATCTAACAAGTTTGACGCCCCACTATAAGCCACCCAACAAACCGTGTTAACCAAGCGCAAGGCGGATAACATTTTATCAGTGCACATGATTTTCTAACCGGTTTTCCTTGTTTTCCTCCAGCACTTAAGACGAATACCAGAAATTAATAATGCAGTATAATACAATGGAATCTATTTGTAGCTGTATTACGCGTATCTGGCCAAGTTCTTAGTAAAGACACTAGATGGCAGGATGGTCTATTTTACAAATGCTGCTGCCATTAAGCAGCTTTTACACGTGTTTCTAATTTATACGGGAGAATGAGTGGGATAAAGGGTTTGAAGGATTAATATACGAAAAAAATAATTTCCCGTGGAATTTCAACGGACATTTCCCACTAATATTTTAAAATAGATCACGGAAATGTCCTTACATGTTTAAAATCCAGCAAAATATCACCTTCGATGTAACAACGCAGTTTACAGCTGCATCGTTAAATAGATATAACCTACGAACAAAGCAGGTTCAGATTAAAATTTGGGTTTTTGTGGTTCCAAAATTTACAAACCTGGTAATCCTGTTAAGTTCTCCAACATTATTTTAATGGTAAGTCCTAGTATAATGTGCGCTGTTGGGTCCAATCCATATAGATAGTCCCTGTCTCCAGATGATTTATCTGAAGATGGAGACAGATTCCAGTCTCCGAAACGTCTTGTTCTTAATTCAGTTAGAACGACAGTAATTTCCAAGAAGTTTACTACAGACACAGTAATGTTTGAAAATATGGAACGTGTCAAAGTATCGTAGTATTTATCTCGCGGTATATTGTTACAGTAATTTTAACGATGTAATCTCAATCCATCCCAAGGTCTGCAAAAATCTGTTACTTACAATCAGCGTGTGTAAAAGTAATTAAGTATTGTTCTAATTGCTGTGGTACATTTTATTATCACGCAGCAGAACTGAGCCAACACGACGTCCCGACTAAATATCACTCTGGGTTTTTCCAGCAAACAACTGGAGAATCTGAGATAAAAGATAATTGTTTATTCACCACAGTCGCCAGATCGATCTATCTCCTTTCGATTCAATTCAATTCAAGAAGTTTAAGTAGCAGGCTGCCATAATAAATTTGATAATGACCCTAACAATTTTATGACTGAATTGACTATCAAAAATATTTATGACTTTATATCATAATAAAAATAAATAAGATAAGATGAGAAGTGATGAGGTGCAAGGAAAGTATTTGAAATTCTTTAAGTATCGTTACGAAAATAAATTTTCATAAAGTTTTTCCAATTGCCATTTCATAACCCAGTCCACATATAACAAATACTTAAATTTAATAACATAATATAATCAATATACTCTTGCATTACATGTTAATAACGATTCTGAAGATATCTTTAGTGGGACAAGCTTAAAATAGCACTGGATTTTAAATGTTTATAAATTAAACAAACAAACATATAGAATTGAAAATGGCATAATAATAGCGGCTTATTTAAGAGTTATGGCTTCCATTAAGAAGTACGGAAAACATTCATTCCTCTGTAATCTACAGCCTCAGTGAACAATAAGGCTCTAATGACCTTCGCTGTAAAAGTCTGAGTGTTTCCTGTGCAATTACAGCAGTTACTTTCCGGTATCGATATGACGATGTCGATTTCACTTGCAGGCGGTGACCGCTTCATTCGATAACATCGAATGGGCAGACAGTGAAAGCGGCGGCGACGGCACAGGGGACGATGGGGTCGCAGAGTCACTCGCCTCTTCCCCTTCGCCGCCCCCGCACCAAGTGCCTAAATTACCGCCGCCACCAGAAGCAGCTGTCCAAGTGCAGTTGCTCAAGCCGCCTCCAGTAACGTTCGGAGTTCCTCACCGACGCAACTCCGTGTCCCTTCCGGCGGGACTCGACATCATGGAGTCGCCAACACCCTCGTCTTCGCCCGCCCTTTCTATGCAGGTCAGTATGAAATCTTTTATTAATGCGATGTGAAACTGGAATGCTCTGGCCAAGCATAATTTGCTGCACAGAAATGCTAGAGATGGGTTAACGCGGTTCAAGATTGGTGTTCGGAAATTGGGAGGGATTTGAGAAAGGAAGATGTACGTATTATAAAAATACCTGCATACAATTACATGTAAATTTGAGAATGAAATCAGTAATATGTCATTTTAAATAGGGAAGGGGGGAGTAGAATTATAGTTATAGACATAAATATTATATAGTAAGAATCAGCGTCATAACATTTTAATATGTCAAGTGTGCTGCATAATTTATGTTATAGCGACACTTCTGACGCAGATAAACCTTTAGTGGTACCTAAATAACCTATTTCCCTTGAACAGATCTTTATTGATAGCAAGTACGTCGTGCGAGTAAGATGGATATTTATGTAATTCGAACTATCTCTCTTCCCGGTTTGTAACTATGAAAATGTCTTATTTCATTCTCTCACCGAGGATGCTGAAGTGCTTTGGACAAGTTTCGTAGGATTAAATTGGATTTTTAATTGTGCCTGATTTTTAGTGCGTATCTACAGAAAATACGGCAGAAACTAATATTTACGGCTGATTATATTCAGAATAAAAATAATTAATTAATGAAGGGCCTTCGGAGATTATTTACAACCGTGCATAATAATTTGCAAAAAAATAATTGCGTTTCTAAGAACTGAACATAGCTTTACGTGTAGTTTAATAGCAGTGACACGATGTGAAACATTTTGCACGTGACTGTACGGCATTATTTCAACCAAATCAACCACCGCACAGCCAGGCTCAACATTCTTCTGTACTAGAGGTCACGTGACCCACTTCTGATTAAGTACATCGTTATTGGGCATGTACCATGACGCATTTTAAGTTTGCAGTGGGGAACGCGAATGTACGAAGAGACTGAGACTGACTTGGCTTTGCTGTACCGTACATTATGTTGGCGAAATCACATTTGCAGATTAAAAACTTTATCTGTGTGTCATTGTTTATAAGGAAAAACACTCAAATGATTGGAAGTTTCAATATATGTACTCAGACGTCTAAAGAAATTTCGTATTTATTTATTTGTTGTTTATTTAATGACGCTGTCAGGAGCTTAGAATTGTCGGGATATTACTCTTAATAGAAGCGGTTTTCCTGTTGCACACGCGTGTGGTGTATCAGAGACCCTTTTCAAAAGCTCGTAGTACAAAGCAGCCGATGCTAGTTCCTGCCAACACATTGAATAAGCAATCGCGGGCAATCGACAAAGGATGACCCAACAGCTTGGGGTCTGAGCGGGGGACTTGAAACTTCTCACTGTAAAAAGCACAGGGCTTTGGGTTAGTGAAGTCTTATGAACACGGTAACGAAACTTCTGGTTCTGTAAAATGTTGGCATTATCTTCACTAGTTGAGCGACTGGTGGCTTATAAAGGGCTTACTCCCACCAAACGGACTCTGACATAGCGTGACGGACATTGGTTCATTTCCCAAGATGGACTATGAGTCCTTGTCTGCTGTCCACTGCGGATTATTTTGTGTATTAGTATTAATCATCATATCTAAACGCTGTTTCGTCTGCAATCCAGTACCGAGGTACGTCGTGGTGACCAGGTAGCCACACGCAGGAAATCTATGACGATCGGTATCCTCTCCACAGGAATAGTTAATAAAGTCACTGAACAGTTTTTCTCTACGTAATTATTTATGGGAATGTTCTATCATTTGGCAGCTTGAGCCTCAAAGCCTATATAAATCTCTGTTTAGAGCGTGTTATCGTCAAAGAAGATTAATTCTCTGGATACAGTTAATATGTATTGTGATACAATTAACGGTAGCTTGAAATATTTTGAATTTTCGTGGCAGCCGGCAAGCTTTTATTAAAATCCCGCCGAATACCTGAACAATTTACCTTCGTTTACCATGAGATTTCAAATTCTCACGGCGGCATACTTTGAGGATAGCTTTCTTCTGGGTTATACGCCATATATTCTGGTAGAAGCGTACCGACGTTTCAGACGAGCTTGCTGCCTCTATCATCATTACATCGCCTTGATGATCGCGCCTCCGAAACGTCGACACACTTCTACCAGAATATACGGCGAAGCAGTCTAGAAGACAGACGTGTGCATTCGGTATCTTGCAGGACATCAACTGTGGATTTAAGAGTTTCGAAAAACCCAAGATAACAGATATGATGTTCAAATACAGATAGCACTGCCTTCGAAGCGTCCGGTGGCACTGTTATCACATGCAGCTCAGTAAGTTATTCATCCCTGTCCGTCTACACCATCGAAGAGACTTGACGATTTGCATTTGTATTTGTTCAAATTACTTTAAATTTAACTTGTCATCATAATACAGAAAAATTAATCGGAAAATATGAAAATTTATCAATAAAGATGCTTAAGTATTGTCATATAAGTCATTGTAATTGGTTCAGTCCTGAAAGTTGTTGGGTCGAGTGTTGCATGAACTGTCAGTGATTCGTTGAGATTAGATTCTAAGGGATAAAAGCGATATCTAACGAGACATCAATCAGGAAATTTTTGTGAATATAGGCTATCTGGCAGAAAGGCATATACTGTGATACACGTGGCTTTGTCTGACAACGTAAACATATTTGTAGTTATGCATAGAATAAATAACCCTTCTGTTGCGTGATAAGCAAATGCATTTGACTGTGAAACATTTATATAAGACAGAGTTGAAGTTTGAAGGTTTCTGACGACCGTACATAAATGGACTAACAAGTAAAGTTGCTATTTTGGACTTTGTACGTCTTCTAAATTAGAAATTGTGAAATTACAAAAATTGCAACTTTTCAGAAGCTGGATTCTACCTTCGTTTTTTTAAGTAACAGTGGGGACGAAGGCAGAAAGCCCGGTTATGGTCCAGGTCGACATGACGTTGCTACCCGGTAGATCAGCACCAACGTCTTCACCGTCGTAACAACCACAAATTTGTATTCTACCACGTAAATTTATTTAAAATACAATGAATACGAGCTCTTTGCAGTTCACACAAAGATTTTACTAAAAACCGCTCAGATTTTAAGCTACGCAGTTGGAGGTCCATAGACCTATTGTTTCTTTCCCACCTTTACAATGTCATTATGGTTAACACTTCTAAGCCAGCGCATATATTTTGAAACGTACTTAAATGTTACTTATCACTTTTTGGACGGCCTTGTAGTCAGTCGCCTCGTGGTAAGAGAATTGTTTCTAAAGCCATCGGAAGACACTGAAAAATACGTAAGAAGGCGAAAAACTGCTGTTGAAAGTTGGTAGTACTAATTACAGATAAAAGTATTATCCTTAATGCCTTAGTACAAGGTCTCGTGACAATTTAAACAACATTTCTGCAGGAGATAGGATTAAATAACCACATAATCTAGGTCGTCTTATATCTAATCGACTGTTTTCTAGTCTGCTTGGGTAGGAATGAAACAAGTTGGAATACAGTTGAGCAACGCTTTCAGGAGAACTGTAATTATTGGCTTTTGTGGTTAGTTGGAATCTCACCTCCCGTGGTTCAAGGTGAAGAAGATGTTCCAGCCTGAGTCACAATGTAATACGTCATTCTGAATTACGTGTGTCTGGGAAATGGGATTTTATAAACCTTTTGAGCAACAAAGTATCTATCGGGGGAAATGTTGGTGTCGTTATGGTAAATATTGAAGTGAAATAAAAATATTTAGGAAATTTTTGTGACGCCGTAAGAATAAAATTTAAGAAAAGTGACATTTTTACAACAACAAAAAATAATGTATAAAACGTGAAATTCTCGCTTTGGAAAGTTAAGTTGAAGTAATTGTGAATAACACAGAGTGTTGTGAATTGGGCTTATTTTTGAAAGTGCAGATAATTGTTCTGGTTATAAAAAACTGTGTTCGAACAACTATGACGAGTGGTTTAGATGACTCAGGAACTGAGAAGCTACTGGCACCAGATTCCTTTACGATCGACGCAGTCGGAAATAAAGAGGTATGACTACAGTAATTTGTTTCACATTAATTATTTTTAAGTTTTTTAATTGCGATGTAATCTATCATTAAGCAATAGAAAACAAATAGATTATTTTGGCCGAACACTTCTCTTCCCTTCATAATGCATTGCTGCACGGTTCCAGAAGTTTTAATACAGAAACAAATATCACCAGGCTTTATTATCAGTATGTACGAGCAGGTTAGCACAGCGAAAACGCGTTAGTGTCGCATTCAGAGCTGTGCCCTGTTTGATTCCCGTCCTGAAAAGTGTTGCTATTTTCTTCAGACCCTCCTTGAAAATGCCGGAATGATCTTATGATAGTTTATTAACACTGCTCGCAGCCTCCAGTCTCATAATTCATGAAACCATATCAGCTTCGACTCAATATAACAGGAGCAGTTGAAACATTTTTGTTTATCAAGAAACGAACATATAATTCGCTGCTACGTAGAATCGTCTATATTGTGCATTAGCCGAATAATTGAATATAATCAGACAACCAAATGTATATAATTATCAACTTGGAACACAAAAACGTGGATAATAGTAAACAGATGAAATGTCGTCAGCAGTTCCTCTAGAAATTTTTGGGGCCAGTATCGTGTTTTAGCTTTCCTGGAATACGTTTTTGGTTTCATTACTACTACTGATATTAGCATCGAAAAAACAACAACACAACTTGTAAAGCGTAAATAAGGACGACTCAACATGTAAGATACGAAAGCTTGTTTTCGTTGTGTGCTGTTTTGGTAAATCATATGTTTTGTACAAGTGCCAGAGATAACAAGAAGCTATTGAAACTGATGTGAAAAACCATGGGGACTTTTTCTCTAAACCTGCAGTTTAGCAATGACTGGCTTTTTATCTTTATCTCGGAATTTGAGACTTATGGACCTGTTTTCAAACTCTTCGCCACGTATAGACATCGGAGGAATGTGGAAATAAACACAAAGGAGAGAAGATCATTGATCCATCATCCAGTGAAATTAACTGGGAAAATGAGGGCTGTATACAGATAGGGGGAGGGGAAGACATCAAATTAATATTTTGGTGAAAGGCGGTATTTCGAAGTTGAAGTTACTGAGGAGATGTTTGGAAATTGGGATGGAGAGAAACATTAATGTGGAATATGGACCCCATTGTAGGCATTCAGGGATTAGCACGAGGTAGGATTATAAAAAAAAATTAGAATAAAATTAGGGCAAGCGAAAATAGGAGGGGGCACTTAAGAAACATACTGAGGAATGTTTACTATAACTAGAGATAATGAAGGTGTGCAATAAACCCACATTTTTGTGACATTGACTAAAGCTGACAATAAATCCGATATTGCAGACCTCAAGGTAAAGGCCAGGATAAGAAAGCAAGTAGTAGAGTAAATAAATTAATATGTATGAATGACTATGAAACAGTCAAGTCGTCACTCGAATTGTTCTATAAAATAGCGGTTCTGTGACAGTGGTCGCTGTATTGGGTTTGCAGGATACGTCGTCCAGACATGGCGACGATTCAAGTGACGACACATTTACGGATGGTGACGGCGGAATTTCAGAAGAGGACACTGTCGCTGTTAAGTAAGTCATTCCAAATTGAAACCCAATAACTTTAATTGCAAGAATGAGTGTTGGTCTTTTGAATTGTAACTGTGTGTGGACTTTCTAGTAATTAGATACGAATGTTCGGAGATGCATACTGCCACAACCTTCAGGACTTAACATCAGAAGACGGATACAATATATTGCTTCGAAACGCTAGTAACCATCTGCAGTTTCACATGGCGTCACAACTCAGAAGAATATTATCAGCACATAGTGCAGTACCGATATTGTGGCTCCCACAATTTCACGCAACCCCCATTTTGTTGTTGCCAATTATAGGAAACGAGAAGATATGAATTTGGCACAGCCTCCAATGAATTAGGTTGAATTTTCAGAAGCGTGAATTTATTTGAGTATTCTCCAATGAGATCCATCATCCAGTGAAATTAACTGGGAAAATGAGGGCTGTATACAGATAGGGGGAGGGGAAGACATCAAATTAATATTTTGGTGAAAGGCGGTATTTCGAAGTTGAAGTTACTGAGGAGATGTTTGGAAATTGGGATGGAGAGAAACATTAATGTGGAATATGGACCCCATTGTAGGCATTCAGGGATTAGCACGAGGTAGGATTATAAAAAAAAATTAGAATAAAATTAGGGCAAGCGAAAATAGGAGGGGGCACTTAAGAAACATACTGAGGAATGTTTACTATAACTAGAGATAATGAAGGTGTGCAATAAACCCACATTTTTGTGACATTGACTAAAGCTGACAATAAATCCGATATTGCAGACCTCAAGGTAAAGGCCAGGATAAGAAAGCAAGTAGTAGAGTAAATAAATTAATATGTATGAATGACTATGAAACAGTCAAGTCGTCACTCGAATTGTTCTATAAAATAGCGGTTCTGTGACAGTGGTCGCTGTATTGGGTTTGCAGGATACGTCGTCCAGACATGGCGACGATTCAAGTGACGACACATTTACGGATGGTGACGGCGGAATTTCAGAAGAGGACACTGTCGCTGTTAAGTAAGTCATTCCAAATTGAAACCCAATAACTTTAATTGCAAGAATGAGTGTTGGTCTTTTGAATTGTAACTGTGTGTGGACTTTCTAGTAATTAGATACGAATGTTCGGAGATGCATACTGCCACAACCTTCAGGACTTAACATCAGAAGACGGATACAATATATTGCTTCGAAACGCTAGTAACCATCTGCAGTTTCACATGGCGTCACAACTCAGAAGAATATTATCAGCACATAGTGCAGTACCGATATTGTGGCTCCCACAATTTCACGCAACCCCCATTTTGTTGTTGCCAATTATAGGAAACGAGAAGATATGAATTTGGCACAGCCTCCAATGAATTAGGTTGAATTTTCAGAAGCGTGAATTTATTTGAGTATTCTCCAATGACATAATGTCCATACCAAATTTCATGAAAATCCGTCCAGCTTACAGTGTTGTTACCAATGGAGTGTGTAAGTTGGGTTATTTTAGCGATGCGCATGCGCAGAAGATAGTGGATTATGGTGCCAACGTTGGTTGAACCTAAACACGACGTTGAACATCCGTCAGTTTGGTATTACGGGAGTGTATGTGTTTAAAAGGCATAAGTTCGAAGTTGTTTGGTGTGGCATACCGTTTATACTAAATACTAAATCATGAACGTCTTTCCAGTTATTCTCTAGTTATTACTTGCTTGCAAACAAATATGTTTGGTAATATGTTTAATTTAAGTTTGTTAACAACAGACGCGCCCATTATTTTCTTCCCAATACTAAAATGTAGAGTATTCAGTCATGACGACTTGTGTTGATGGCAGTAACAAGCGAAATTTTACATAATTTCTCGTTTACTATCTGCCACGATCAGCTGTTTGGCGATGGCATGGTCTTCAAGATTGTCCTCACTGTGTCACAATATGTTTGTAAACCGTGTTGAGAATGAATCAGTGCTGTTTTTTACATAGTTGAAAATACGGGTTCACTTACAGTTAAGTATACTGGTGTGTGTAGGAATGCATTTTACGTCAATTAAATTAACTACTAATGGTGTAATTGATCAAACCTGTGGCACTGAATTTAAAGGCAATAAGTTCCAACTATTTGCGTGTGTTTATTTTGGTGACCTACCTACTAACTGGGAGGTTGCTGCGATGGAATGCGAATGTCCTTGTATACCGATTATACGGTACAAAAATTTAGTGTAAAAGTGTGGATGTGTAAAGGGACAAGCCAGAGGTGTGATGTAGTGGGTAAAAGTGTACATAATGGTCTTTTTAGGTTATAAAGCGCTTTTTACATTGCTTAGTACTTGTTATATTTATTTAGAACAAGGTGGGTAAAATAGAAACAGTCCCAGAATGAAGCAAGATATTATAAAAAGCTACTTCTTTACTTTTTGTAACTTTTTATGGTTGTAGTTAATTGAGAGTAAGCCACAGTTAGTGTAGTTTTTAAAGTTATTGTATGTGCTTTCATCATCAACTTTCTTGATCAATTTGAGTCCTGTTTATCGCATACTTGTTCATCATCATTTCTGCATGGTGTGGGCCAGTCATGTTTTTAAAACAGATTGGTTGAAGAATTTTGGAAGGGGGTAAAAATTGGTAAGAGCAGCCCTGAGTTTTCAGATGAAATGCCAGTGTATAAAGAAGTAAGTCAATCTTATGTCTGAATTTTGTTGAGTTCCATCACTGGAACTTTGCACTTCTCCCATAAAAATTATTGACAAAGCATTGAGTGTTACCCAGAATTCTTGACCCCTGAAGCTTCAGGTATATTAAAAACTGATTCATGTCACTCAAAGTAAACAAGTCCTTTCTGTATAGTCATAGAAAGATAATATATGGAAGTTTAGCTGGAATTAATGCTTTTTTGCCAAATATTATTAATAGTTTGTTTTGGAGGCATTAGGTTCAGTCCATACTATTAATTTTGTTTGTGATTATACTTTTGTTTCATGAAGCCAAGTCGGGGGTGTCAGAATCAAGACCGAAGTGCAGGATAATCTAATTGAATGAGTGCAGTTTACTTCACAGTGCTACTTGCATTTGTTGTTTTGAAAAATGAGGGCATTACTTTACAGTACACATTTGTTTTCCTATGAAATTTTGTATGAACAGTGTACCAAATGGAAGTCATTTTATTCTATACTGTTCTTAATGAAATTTTTATGGCAATGAAAATTTGGATTGTGGTCATTTGTGTTGTGATTTGTATTCTGTAGACAGAGGTGATATGTTTCTCTGTAACTTTGCAAATAAGGTCAGCAAAAGTTGTGCAATGCATAAATTTTGTATGCTTGACGATTTTAATGAAATTATGGATTGTTTCAGAGTCCCACTTCGTACTGCTAGGAGAAAATCAGTTATGCCACCAGGACTTATCAACAACAGTGATTTCTTGGATCCATCTGATGGGCCTGATCAGTCTCCACAGAATTCCATTACCAGTATTAATAGCATCTCCAGTTTACTTAAGGAAAAATTTGCTGTTAAGTATATGTTTTAAAGTTAAAGAGAATCTTTGTAAAGAAGGGTTTTTAAGATAAATGTGAAATTTCAATTCTTCTTATAGCTTATGAGTGTGTATTGAATGTTTGGTACACGTATTTCATTGATATTTCTCTGAGATTGGTAACATTTTTCTTTTTTGTTTTTCAGTTGTCTTTTCCAGGCATGTTGAAGAAGAAAAGACCGCAAGAATACAAACTCCGTGCCTTTGTTGGAATTCTATTCCTTTCTATTGTTTTTCTTGTTGGTTTTGCATATGTATTCTACCACCAACAAGTTCTTCAGGTAATTTCGTTAGTATTTTCATAATAAATGAGATGCAATGTCAGACCCTCCACCCATTGACACATCAAGCACTATACTTTTATCTGTTTTTGGGGTACATGGAAGTTCTTATGTGTAACAATATTTTTAATATATTTGATTGTTTTAAGACTACTGTAACAGATAATTGCTGATGTATAGAACATTGTTGAAGTATAAGCTATAAAGGTACAATTACTCTCCCGTATTTTGTAGACTATGTGCTTTGAAACAGTCGTGTATGTTACTTTGGGTATGTTCTTTTTCTTTTATTCAGAGAGCGTACTTTGAACGTATTCGTTTCAATAAAGAAGAGCGCGTGGTTCGAGTCTTCAGCAATCATGGGCGTGAAATCTTGTATGGCCATCTGGGTGTCCACTTGGGTGGTGATCGGGCATTCCGCTGTTTACCACATGACATTTTGGATGATGTCTCTGTCTGTATGGAGTGGATGCACAAGGCACGTTTATATATGAACTACACAGAGCGCGTTGGTGTGCGCTGCTATCATATAACATGGGAAAGCCTCATGTGGGACTTCTATCCTACTGATTGTTATGACTGGTCCGATGGACGTGGACACTGGTATGGCGGAGGCCAGACCAACAAGATGGCCTGGCCTATTGAGAAGGGTTCGGTGGCCATGTCGCCATTTATTACTGGTGATATAAGAGAACACGTATGGGGAAATGTTTTGAAGCGTTACTTCATCAATTCCAATGGTATTACAGTCTTTGTTGATCCTGATACGCCCCTCTATGTTTCAGTGAATTCAGATCACCCTCATCAGTTTTGTCTTCAGGCACGACACGATGATTTTGCATATGTATACCATTCAACGCCTCTCCCTCAATTAAATTACTCCATTTGTACATCAACTAATATGAAGTCACTGCATTCATTTTTCTCTGAGAAGAAACTTTGGGATGGGTTAAAGGAAGAGGATTTAAAAATAATAAATTCACTTCTAACGGAGCCGGTGTGGCAGATACCCTCGGACCCAGGAAGTGAGTTGACTGAGGGAGCCATTTACAATTATACTGAAGATGTGATTGCTCTTGGTTTCCTGAGACAAGGTCACGTACTTCTAAGTGAAGCCTGGCAGCCGCATGTTGGCGACTTTATTTTGGATCCCGTACGTTTTCCAACGATGGATGAGACTATAAATATAATCCATAGACGTGGATTCCGAATTGTGTTTACAATTCAGCCATTTGTGAGTACAGAATCTGTCAACTTTGCTGAAGCAGTCTGGAAACGCCTGCTTGTTAGCGAACGGGGTACTGGTGGTCACGTTCCGGCATTAACAAGATATAAAGATGTAGCAAGCGCTGGTATGCTAGATATTACAAACAACATAACTGTGCCATGGCTTCAGGCTAGACTGAAAGCTGTGGTGGATAAATATCATATTGATGCCTTTTACCTTGATGTTGGAACTGCTTATGACATGCCTCATTATTACCGCTTTGAGAACCAGCTCACAAACCCAGACCATTATAAGACAGTCTTTATTGACAGTATCTTGCCTGCTGTCGGAGTAGTAGGCGTGTCTAGCGCCATCGCGAGGCCTAAAGCCCCAGTGTTTGTTTCTTTGCCTCCTTTTGCTTCCACTTGGAAGTCTATGCAGTCAATAATCCCCATTGTTTTAACATACGGTGTCCTGGGATATCCATTTATTATGCCTGGGGCAGTTGGTGGAGACTATGAGTCAGAGGAAGAATATGTTGGTGCTACTAAGAATGCAACGGTGGCAGAAAATAAGGCAAGTGATAATGGAGGAACCAATATCCATCTTCCTCTTCCAGATAAGGAACTGTATGTTAGGTGGTTGCAGCTTGCAACATTCCTGCCAGTGATTCGCTACACCCATCTGCCTAGCAAATATGGTGATGATCGTGTTCTAGAGATGGCCAAGGTTCTTACAGCATTACGGCTGAAGACCGTAAGTTCTGAGAGTTTCGTATTATATGTTAATTAGAATTTAAATACTCGTTATTTAAACGTTTCGTTAATGCAGTTAAACTTATTCGTTTAGGTTCCGAGACTTGAATTTTTATTTACTTGTGAAAATACCAGTTTTTAAACAGAGATTTTGACCATCTGTAATGTGTTTCTTCTAGGTGAATCCTCTGTTGGAGAAGTATGTACAAGACGCTTTGAAATTTGGGATTCCAATAATTCGCCCATTGTGGTTATTAGACCCCGGTGACCCAATATGTCATCTGGTTATGGATGAATTCTCAGTTGGTGAAGAGTTAATTGTAGCACCAGTATTATACCCTCAAACTTATGAACGTGAGGTTTATTTACCTACTGGTGTATGGAAGGATGGAATTGATGGCAGTTTGCGAAAGGGAAGTCGCTGGTTACACAACTATGGAGTGCCTGAAGACAAAGTGGCTCATTTCATCAAAATGCCTGATGACACTCGCTTCTGAGTCTATTAGATTTCACTTCTATTAACAAAGTAAAACTGAAACATATTCAGTAGATCAAAGAATTAAATTTTGTTACGCAACATACATCAACAAACAAGACATCATGGACATGGTAGTTTTTTTACTATAAGCCCATTTATTTTTTATTATATGATGATTTTTATCTAATAGATACAGCAAAGGCATCACATTGACTATGTATGACTATTTTGTATATATAATCTTTATTTTCTCAGAAGGGTTACGTACATTGTTTGCTGCTGGATATCATTTAAAAACTGCTGAGTGTGAAGAGATTTAACTGGTTGTGTAACGAGTTTGATGAAGTATACAGTGTATTGTAAATAAGCTAATTTACGTTATTTTGTACAGCGAGAGACAGAATATTTCCATACTTTTCTGTGTGACTTGGAAGCAACTGTATTTATAAATTTCTGTGATAAATGCATTTTTGTAGCCAAAGAGTTAAAGGTCTCAGCCCTCGTGCTTCACCACATTCAAATTTCCCCTTTTCATTTTTGGAACTGGTTAGGGACTGGTGGCAGGCTGTTCTGAACACAACAATAAAACATCGGGTTTTGTTAAGGTGAAGATTTTCTTGACTGGCTGAGCATACTATTAGCTTCTGAAGAAGAATTCTGCTCCTTGGAGTTAATTTTTGTAATATACTTTAATGTATCCATTGTCCTAAATGTATGAACAATGAAGAATAGACCCTGTCTGTCCTTTTATTCACAAAACAAATTTACACATGACTGGGGAAATAAGTGGCATAGTAGGGATTGTGCTATGTGAAAGGATATTTTAAGGTATTTTGGTGTTAGCATGTCTCAGACATATGTAACTTGAGCTCTTGGGGATGAGAATGTTGAGAATTATTTGTAGTTTCAGCAGACATCGCAGTTGCCATCTTGAGGGTTAATGCGTTCCATTAATTCTGTTGGTCTTCCAAAAAATATTGCTTACATATAAAGAGTACACAACTTTAAATATAAGTAGTCTGTTGCTGTGACATTATATTACTGCTGTTTTTCATGTTGCATACAAATATAAGTTTGTGAGAGTTCAATTTTTATATGACTTGAAATGTTTGTATCAATAAATTTACATTTTCTTCAAAACAGTTTCCAGTTTGATTTCTATATATATATACAAATTATTATATATTATGGTATACATTTCATATTTGTTTCTTGAGACACCTGAAGTTCATTCCAGGTTTCAGTTATCAGTCTTATTAATTAAATTTTAATTTGTGTCAATTTTCAGAATCCACGTGAATTCTCTCTGGGGCAGTCTGAGCGTACATAAAAAACTGTTTGGCTGTCCTGAATAAGAAGTGGATATCCTATGGGCAACTGAAAATATAATTTTTTTTGTATGAATATACTGCAGTATTTGTGCAATGTTAGTTTATTTATAATAGGTGGAGTAGCTCAGTCAGTACAGCGACTGACTATAGGCTGGATGACGACTTTGATCCCTAGCAGGGGCAAAACAAGTTCCCCTTTAAGCCTCTGGGGCCTCCTATGCAGTGGGTACCAGAGGCCTTTTTCCCAGGGGTAAAGAAGCCAGGACATGAAGGTGACCACTCACTTCCATCTAGTGCCAAGTTTGTGGAGCTTTTCCTCCAGTATGCCATACATCTTCATGACAGGTCCTTTAATAAGTACCAGAAACAACTTTACAACTTCATCAAGTTTTTGAGGGATATGCAAAGGGAACGGAGTTATGAGTAAGAAGGAATTAAAATATTTAAATTCTGTTGAGAACTGTCTGATTATTTTTTCAAAGTTTTTTTTATTCCAGTTTTATTTTGTTTCTCATACATGACCCATACATACACTGCAGTTATATCAGAACAAGCATAGAGCAAACTTTTTGACTAGAAGCTCCAAGTTTAAGCAAATGCATGTTTTTAAAACTTGCTATTATGACATTTTAAAATTACATAATATTTTAATCTTATGGTTTTCCCAAAAAGACACTCAAATTACAAGCGAGGTGCAACAATAAGTCCACTTTTTTAACCAAGAGGGGGGAAATAAATAACTAAATAAATTAATTAATAAATAAATAAACAGCAAGCATAACTTACAAATTGTAAGGCCTGTTGCCAATAACAGTCATGAAAAATCACTTTTAAAAATGTCTGTCAATATTAGAACAATACAGTAATAGCTTTCGTAACTCGCACTACTCCGTCTCATTCCCCTCCCCGCACATCAAAATGATGGTGGTGTCTGTCGCTGTTGGCTCCTAACCATGCAGTCGCAGCACCTACCTTCATATTTATTAATTGTTTAACAAGGCATTATTAGGTTTTCATAGCACCATTTCAATCTCAACTCAGCTCAAAAAGCTTAGAATATTACAATGATTTATAAGAAGCTCGGTTCTTCCTGATCCAGTTGACAGTTATACCATGATAGTATATATTAAATAACATCTTACAGTAACTTGGGCAGATATATATTGGTAGTTAATGTACAATTCTTCAGTTATTACTACAAATCCTGCTCAATTCTGTTCTGTAACATGCAACCTTCCAGCCACACTAGCACTAAGAAATTAACACTACAGTGGGTTATAAATAAAGGTTATAATCATGAAAATCATAAAAAATTAAATAAGTCTAATAAGAAAGTATAAATTAGGCCTTATGAAAATAGTATTTTGTTGAATTCCTAATTTAGGTATACAGTATGTATAACACAATATTAATGACTACTTAATAAAATAGATATTAGTAAACACTGACATCAAAAGGAAAAGAATGTTCCATACTTCAAGCAACACAGCTCTCTCGTCTACCACTGTACCACACCACGCACTAAGTACAAAAGGATAGCGTGTTTTTTTTAAACTTTTTATTTGCTCACCAACCTGCAAATAACTTACACTTAATGTTATTAACTATGAGCTACATAGTTTTAATATGTCAGTTAAACTGTTGTTTCTTTTGGATCAATTCTTTGCCAAAGTATGATGGTTATATAATTTTTTATAATTGTTTGGATTATGTAATTTTTGAGCACTTCTAAAAAACATAATTACATACATATTAATTGTCTTCTTTTATCAGGTATATCATTTTCATGTTTCTTATCCATTCAAATTCTTTGTTATAAAAATCTATCTGAGGCAACACTTAACAATTTGTAAACAACTTTTCATCTTTGTATAAACCGATACTATTCCAGCCGGCAATGTTCACCTTCTTAATAAGAACTTAGGTTTAATGAAGGGTTATCACATGAATTATATGCAGTTGATGGTTTCTGCTTTTAAAACAGAAGACACTAAAAAGCTTTATCTTAAATTTATAATAATGTGATTGAATAAAAGTATATGTAGTGACATGGTTTATGAGGAAAGGTACACATGTAAACCTAGCTCTATGTTGGTAGGACAGCAGCAGTACAAATCCATGGCAAATGCTAACAGAATGTGAGATATTATTCATGTGGAGTTCCAGAATTGTTGATTTTTAAGTACATGACATCATAAAGGGGAGTTTCAGGGTGAGCATACACATTTACATACACAGCCACCCACAGTAATTATTATAATTAGTAATTGTTTAATTTCTAATATTCTTCCCATACACATTAGATATCTTAACAAATGTCTTTTCAAGATGTGGTCTGTCTTCAGCAAAGAATTAAATTGTTTGTCCCTACATTTATTAACACATAACAAATATAATTGAATTCACTAACATTTTCTTGAAACATACGGAAGGGTATTCAGAGGGTTACACCAATGAAAGTTTTTTCTGCTTTTGATAGGTTACAAGTAATTATGAATGAAAACTAAGAATAAATATTTCTGCAGTTACACATTTGATTGAGATGAAGAAGTGGATTAAGGGACCTCAGTGAAGGTGCAATGAGTATAATTTCCTTTTAGTGTAACATTTTTTTCCTAAATTAGCCATGATAACATTCATTGACACAATGAACATATCACCTGCCAATTTTTATATAAGAAGAAATAAATCCTTAACAGTTTTTTTTACTTATAAGTAACAGTTTCTGGACTGAAACTGTAATAAAGAACATATTTTACTGCAGTTATATATCTCTGGCTTGTCCCAGATTAGTATTATATATGAAGTTCTGATTTAACAGTATGTCGTCTTTTCTGGAAACAAAATCTTGTAGCTGATAATTTAATTATCTTCTGAAACTTTGGTTCTTTAAAATCTATTTTAGTTTCTGATCTGATTTTCCTTTCATATTTATCTTAATCTGATTGATGGAGACACTCTAAAATGATGAAAGAATTTCCAGTTTTATAATCTTCAACCAGTGTTAGTATTTTTTCCACCATCATGATCCATGAAACAGTGTGTCTGCATGAGGAACTTTTTATGTAAGCCTAACTACTTTAGATATTTAATTTTAAACTCCAAGGCAGAACTGTTAGAATCATGCTTCACATATGTACATACATTCCAAGTTGTTGGAAATCTAATAGAATTAACATCGTGTTTGATAGGGGATTTTAGGCTTTTATGAGGGTTCATTGCTGTTGACATTCTTGTTTTTATGTGATGGCATAGCATGGAAGTGGGCTGTAATGCCAAAATTCTTAGGATCCTTGCTGTATCCATCTTCAAGTTGAAGTGACTGCACCAGGCCCTTACTGATATTTAAACAGTGTATGTGCACTATAAATACTGGATGGGCTAGTGGGGAATTATTTTCTTTGAAAATGGAAATAATAAGGCTATCTGAAACATCAGTAACACAGCTGCTTTCCACATGCATCGTCAAACAAAAGCAGGATCATCTGTCTTTCATGATCCGAATGTGCAAATGAATGCAAAAGAAGCTGATACATAGTAGTTTAAAGAAATGAAAACTGTTAGTACGCCTATGAGATTTGAGTTTCTCATGGCAGTGAGGATGATTACGTTCTTTGAGGTTATGATACCGTCACAATGCAGAAGAACACATTGTTAGTGTGCCTGATTGTATGTTTTAACTGTTGACTTTAAATATGAGTGAGACAATTTAAGTTAGTATATAGTTTTGTGACCATTTAAATACCAATGACTGCTGTGTATTGCAGTTATAATGCAGCTGACCGCTGATTTTTGGATAGAAATGGAACTCGGATCAAGCATGCTTCTAGAATTTAAATTTTCAAAATAGGAAGTTATGGACATTTCCAAGAAAATCTTTTTCATTAATATTTTATAAGTGAAATATCCATGTCAAAAAAAAGAGAATTGTTGGCCTGCATGTACTATGAGAGTGACACCTCTAACCTTTATCTGGCAGCTTGCGTGTAGTTCAGCTGGACATGCGTTGCAGTGTCATACTACAAGACCTTTAAAACACGGATTTAAAAAATATCTGGCTTGGAGCTCTGTAGTACAGGGATTTAAATCCCTTAATCCAATCTGATAAAGATTAATTCTGTATGTGTCTATATGCATTTTATTATTAGTCACCAGGTAACACCTAGAAGGAATTCCATGACATTTTTGCAGATTCCAGAGCCTGTAATTAATCTTGATTCATCAGTTAGGCCCTCTTTGATTCTCATTATCTCTCACTAAAAGACTCATAGAACACACTGAGGGGTCAAGGTGCATTGGGTATACTAATTTGTTTGAAATACTGCTATCATCTCAGATTATCCCATGCAAGGATGAAGATGGCAAAAAGCATCAGTAAGTTCAGAATTCAAGCCTATAAGCAGAGCAGCTTGTCTCGTGGTCCTGCAAGTTGATGGTGCATCGGCTAGCTGAAGGTGACAGATCAATCTTGTATCTGGCAAGTGTGTCTTCATTCTCAGCAACCCAGTAGCCAAGTGTATCCGTGTCATATGTAGGAATGATAGTTACCTCTGCAACAACCACAAAATATAATTATGAGATGTGGAACAAGTTAGTGTACAATCACATTTAGAAAATATCTAGAATACAATGTGCCTATTCTAAGAATAAGATACGTTACAACAGACCTCAATAACACAAATTGTGTTACACCAAAATAAATGGTACAAAGTAGCTGCATCTAAGTATGGACTGTTTCCTGGTAAATTATTGTTGAAATATTTGTGAATGAAATATAAATAAAACTCCAGCATCTTCAGGGGCAAGTCTTGAAGAACAGCACAGTTTTTGGAAAAGTTAGTTTCTAAACTACAGATATCGTCATCAATTGGTGCTACTGCATGTTATTTAAGCAGAACATTTTGGAATTTGCATTTATTTTATATTGTAATTTTGAAGACTTCTGTGTTGTTGTATTAGTACAAGAAGCAGTAGTAGTAAAAATAACAACAACACTAATAATAATAACCAGTGACAACCATTACCTAGTTCTTTATCTTCCCATGTCTGCTTGGCGTCGAGTAATGCATTGTACACTTCCCGGCTAGGCTCAGTACCACTGAACACATAATAGCGTGCTCGCACCTTCTTGAAGAACTCGAGTGTGGTGTAGTAAGAATTGCCATGGTGAGGCACATATGTGAGGTCAATATAAATGGGACTGCCAGAAGCTTTTCCTCCGACTGTATTCCTACCACCTTCTCTATTTGAACTTCCTTTCCTCTCTGAGCTAGGTTGCTTGATGGGTGATTCTGGTCTCTTGGACTTGACATCCTTCCCTGAAGCAGCTTTGTTATTTTCATTCATTATCATTGTCTTTTTAATCTGCATCACCTTTTTCTCTTTCTTTGGAGTTCCCTTATTGGTATTTGGCAAAACTTCACCAACAGTAGTACTGTTATTTGTGGGTGGTGGTGCTGGAGCTGGTAAACCTAATGGTTTTCCCCAGTCTTCAATTGGGTCCTTTTTATTATCTGTTTGTCCTAATGATGACTGTGAGAATCCCAGTGGAGGCTCTGGAAAACATGAAGCTGATGTAGTTGGGGCAGGAAATTGGTGGCGGAATTCTGGATCATATTCAGTGCCAAAACCTGAAGCACTAGCTGATGTGCCATTCTTTTCTTTTAGGATATCTGCTGATATGTGTTCAGTCACTTTAGTGTAAACGTCTTGGTGTAAGCCAGAATCTGATGGATCTACAGTCCCTGGTCCAGTTTTTCCATTATGTTTCTCTTCCTTGATATCACGTTTCTGGTTCATAAGGTCTTCATGCTGTTTTCCAGTAGGAACATTCTCATACCCATAATCCGCAGCTAACCCTTGAGAAGAATTCTCACTTTTCTGCTTCTGTCCATTTACTTCTGACATGTAATAATGCTCATATGTTTTTGTAATTTTGCTGGGTGAAGATGTACTTTCAGAATTATAAGAAAAGCCAGTGGAAGCAAGATCCTTACCACGTGCTGCACGATGCTCATGCTTTGCTCTCTCAAAATCAAGAACCTCTTCCTCTTGTAGTTGCTCCCCAAACTGCTCAGGAATAGTGGGCTTAGCACCCTCCCTGTCTTCTAGTGAACCATAAAAACTGCTTGTCATAACACTGTCCTCAGATGACGTAGCTGCACTGTGTTTAGCTGGAGTTTCACTTGTAACGGGTGGTGGCATATGTGACTGTCTTTCCTTTCCCTCTTTAATGAGTTCTTGCAATGGGTGTGGTGGGAGACTTCCATAGAGGGAACTTGTCATTGAAGAAGAAGCTTCTTCTTTGTGCTTTACGTCATAGTCAGAGGCATTTCTATCACCCATTTCAAAGTAGAAATTGGATGGTGGAGAATGTGCAAGTTGAGAGGTGACACTGAGTGGTGACCCTGGATCATCTTCATCATTGTCTTCGTCACTGTCACAGTGTCTGGAGTCAGGGCGGCCCTCACTGCTTCCCCACACATTGGTGGCTGCCCTTGACACCTGCCCACTGCTGATGTCACTGTGAGGGGTCGAGGGACCACAGCCTATATCCAGGTCACGGTCACTCAATGCATCTGAACCTGGAGTGGCACTGCGCATTTGTTCAGAAGAGCTGCTTGGAGCTTCCTTCTTCATAGAAACATGCATTCCAGAAACAGAAGAAAATTCATCCAGATTGCTCATTACACTTTTCCCTACTGTCCTTGACTCTTTATCACTTTCTCTTCCATTCATCATTTTTTCCTCATCCTCTTTACTGCCTATGGCTTCTGTCAGTTGTTCCTCTTTCATAACCCCATTTGTTATACTACATACACTAGTTTCATCCTTCATTACAATGTCAGTTTTAACTGGAATACGATGATCTACACTTGTCGTGGCCACTTTCAATGGAGAAGATTCTTTTGATAATTCTACTAGTTTGCTGCTGTCAGTGGAACTTGGTTGTGAGATATCCTCTTTCTTACTGAATACATCTACATCTTTGCTGATGTCATGAGTTATGCTTGTTTCCATGGTTCCTTCCTCTAGGATAGTTCTGGTCATTATGTCATCAGCTTCATCACCAGACAATATACTAGTAACTGTTGTGATGGTAGTAGAGGTTGTTTTTGTTACAACTTCTGAATCAACATCTCCAATTTTGTCGCTGCTGTCTGTTGACAATGACATAACACCATTATCATCTCTTTTAGTTACAGTTGTAAGTGATGTAGTTATTTTGCTTATCCGGCTGGAGTCTGAGCCATCTTCTGCTGCTGTAGATTCTATATTATCTTCATCTTCAAAATTAGAATCATCTGATTCCTCCCCTTCTACAGTTACAAAAGTTCTTATGGTTTTAACTGCTTCAGTTATGATATTACCATTTTTTCCAATCTTTTGAGTAATAAATTCCTCCACATTCTCTTCATTATCAGACTCAGTCTCACCATGAACCTCTCTTAGTTCTTTGGTCTTTATTGTGACTAATTTACTACTTCCTCCTCTGTCACCAGGAGAATCATCTAATTTGTGGTCATCTATTTTCACAGTATCAGCTGGAGGACCTACTGTAGATACTGTAGTGAAAGTTTTCAATGTATCTTCTTTACTGATACCTTCCATGATCCCTTCATTTGTATCATCCTTGATTTCGTGCGTTGATGATTTCCCTGTTGTATCTGTTGAAGCGACCTCAGTGCACTGTATTGAGCTGCTGCTTGAAGAAGACTGTCCTGGATGTTCCTCTTTGTAAACAGATGGGACAGACTCACCACTGGATGTTGCTGGAACAGTAGCAGCTGTAAAAGTGAAACTGCCATTAGTACAGAGCTCAGTTTCTGTCCCTCCGTCTTCACTGCTTGCTGTTACTACCATGCGGCGTACAGTTACTGAGTTGGTAAGATCACCTGAGTCAGTGACTTCCTCTTCTTTCTGAGTGGCAGACACAGTAGCAATGGTGGATGTAATAATGGCAGTCGTTTCCTTCTCAGCTATAGCCTCGGCACTTGTAATTTCAGTTACGCTAGATGCTGCCATGCAAGCTGGATCTGAGCTACTTAAAGATGTTGATTCTGATGTATCAGCTGTTGTTTCTTTTGTTATGGTGACAGCTGATTGCTCCATACCTCTGCTATCTGTAACCTCTTTCTTTACTTCTTCTGATATGTCTGTTTCATATGTAACAGAACGAGGAACTTCCTCCAAAATAACAGTGGCTGGTATGAAAGACAGAGGTAACGACGCTGTTTCTTCTAAAGTAGTACTTGTTTCTGTGTCGTGATCTAAGCGTGTTTCTTTTGTTACACTTGTTGATGTTTCTGCAATGTGAGGTATTGGTGTGACATCTCTGCCACATATTTCTGTTAGCAATTTGTCTTCTATTTGCAGTGGTTTCTTCTCTGGACTCTCATGTGCTTTTTCTTTTTCAGAGGCTCCTTCACTTATTAAAAATGAAATTGCTTCATCCTTCACTTCTTCCTGGATTTTTGTTATGGTTTCATCCACTTCCTTTAGATGTACAGGTAATGATTCTACTTCATCCTTCTCTTTTATTCCTTCTGATGGTTTTGTTATTTCCCCCTCTGATAGCTGATATGGTCCTGTCAAATCTTTGTCATCACTGCTGCTGCTTTTATCAGTAATATAAGATGGAATTTCAGATTTACCTTCTTCGATATGAAATTTTGTTCCATCCTTTTCTTTTCTCGGTGCTGTGAGAATCTCTTCTACTTGGGTGGAAAGTTTGCCCTCAATTTCAGCAATAGCAGATTTACTTGCACTCACAAGATCCTCCAACACACTAGCTTCACCAGTCTCTTGCTTCTTTGAAATACTTGTGCTCAGTTCTTCATCTGCTTGGTCACTACTTGCAATTATGGCAATGCCTTTTTCTGATTCAGAGACTGCTGTGGTGACAGGTATATGGATAGGAATATCTGCTGTTGCAGTTATTGCCTGAGCTTCTGCTTTGGACACATCAGCCACCAAATCAAGTGTCTTTTCCTTGGTGTCAGTGTCATATTTGCCTGAGGCCAAAACATCTTCAGTTGGTGACTCATGTTTTGCTGGAATGAAATCTTCATCAAGCGTGACACTTTCTGTTTTCTGAGTACTTTCTTTATAATCAACTCTTTCAGACTTTTCAGGTGCAACTGTAACTGAGGAAAGTGATTCTTTTTCTAATACACCTTCCTGAGTCCTCAAGAGTGATTTCTTGTCTTGTAATTTTGGTGAAGGGGGTGCAGAATCTGGAGTGACTGTGACATACTCTGGAATTTCTGGAGCTTCTAATTTGCCATAAACTGGCTCTTCTTCAAGTCCTGAGTCAACAAATACTTCACCAGGAGATATACTTCTATAACCATAACTGTCATCTTTGTCATCAGTCAGTTTCAGTTCAGCTTGGTCAATTTTATCCACATCTTCAACACTTTCATCTCTCTCAACCTTCTGTTTGTCATCTTTAATGAAGTCCTTGCTGTCTTTGTCTGTTGGTTGAAGCAGATGACCAGTGGGTGTAGATTCCCTCAACTCACTGACACCTGATACCTCATCAGATCTCTTTTCAGTTACCTCTTTGTCTGAAGACTTGTCATTTGCTGACTCATTTATTGTTTCAGCATCTTCTTCCTTTGATATGCCAGGCACAAATTCAGTATCAACTTTGGTATCTTGTAAGTGACTAGTTGTAATAAATGGTTCTCTTCCTACAGCTTCATCAGAACCTAATTTTTCAGTCTTTAAAACATCTTCCTCTAATTTTCCTACAGCTTTTTCATGTTTTACTTCATCAGTTATCTGAATAGAGTCAATGTGTTTTGTGTCATCAGTCATACAGCTAGAAGTTTCTATTACATGTTCTTTGATATCGGCCTTTGGTTTCTCATCAGTTTTATCATCATCATCCTTGGGTTTCACTTCGCTGGCATTTTTCCCCCCTTCTGTTAATGTTAAAGTTTCTTCAGCCAAGTCAATAGTGGGATCACTTGTCTTCTGAGAATCTTTCTGCAGTTTGTCGATTATTTCAAGGTAAGTCATTGACAGCGCACTTGGAGATGGCTTGTCTTGTAATTCTTCTTCAGCTGTCAGACTAGGAACTTCAGTTACTGGATGATCAGCATCAGCACATTTAGGTGCTTCCATGTCCAACTTTGAAATATCAGTCTGAACTTCTTCAATGGCATCTGATTTTAAAGAAAAGTCTTTGCTTGGTTTATCTTCCTCATCTACGTCCTTCTCCTCAAGAGCTGTTGTTGCTTCCTTTGTTAATATAATTTCTTTCACAGCCATTGTTTCTTTGATTTCAGTTTGGGCATCACCACCAAGATTTACCTCTACTGATTCTACAATTTCCATTTTTAATGGCTCTGTAATTTGTTTTCGTTCAGAAGATTTTATATGAATTTCAGATTCCTTTGATACATCATGCTTCTCAGTTTCAAAATGTTCTGAACTTTCAGTAATTGAATCAGCCTTTAAAACTTCTTCAGGTTTTGTGATGAGCTCTTCCCTCTTTCCTGATATGGGTTCTTCTTGCACAAACTTCTCTGTGTCCAGTTTCTCAGAGTATTTTTCTTCATTTTTGAGCTTTTCATCTTCAAATTGTACCTCTGAAACATCTGTCTTCTCATGTCCTGGTTCTGCTTGTATGGCAGATTCCTCAGATGTTACTTCTGGAAGTAGCTGTTTTGTAGGATCAGCTCTTTCAGCTTGTAATGCATCAGGGAAAACTTTCTCTGATTCATCTTTTTCTTCAGAATATTTTGTTTGTTCTGTCTTTATAGCTTCAAATTCTGAACCTTCCTGTTCCTTCCCTGTCTTTTTAAGCTCTGTGTATTTCAGTTCAGATGTTTCTGTTTCAGATGTTTTTACTGCTGATTCTTCAAAAGCTTGGCCTTCTTCTTTAGACTTTTCTGGTACAAGCTTTTCTAAATCAGTCTTCTCTACTGCCGTAGCCTCCAGTTCAAGTTTATCAGATTCCGCTACTGTGGTTTCACAAACACCAAGATTTTCATCCTGTTTGTCAGTTGGTAAACTTTCAACTTTTAGTGCATGGCTTTCTTGTTCAATGAATTCTTCTGTTATATGTTTTATTTTATCTTTATGGTCAAATATTTGTCCTTCATCTCTGGAGACTTCTGCCGTAGATTTAAATTCAGAAACACTCTGTACTTCTTTTTTGTCTTCTTCATGACATACCATTTCTAGTTTGGTTTCTGGTAAGAGGTCAGTAGTTTCTCTTGATTCGTCTAAAATCAATTGTTTAACCTTGTCCTCTGCGCCATCTTTTGTGATCAGTGTAGAGACATCTGTTGCTTTTTGTAACGAACCTTCTACAATTCCCTCTTCTGTGTCAGACTTAACTACTTCTTCGGATAACTGTTCAGGTACAACTTTATCTACTTCAGTCTTCTTACTCTCATCAATTTCTGTTGCAGGTGGTAATTTATCTTCAATTTTTACATCCTGTTTTTCAACTAAATGAACTTCAGTTTCCTTCCCATCCTTTAATTTTTCAGGAAACTCGATGTGTTTTTCAATAATTTCCACCTTTTCTTTATTATCAGTAAATTCAATATCTGGAGCTTCTAGTTCTTCTGCCTTTTCAGTCTTCTTAGATTCAGTCTCAGTGATTACTTTAGGTTCTTCTTTGGCCACAATGGGTAATGGTGCCTTCTCTTGTTCCACAAACTCAGAGTCTTCAAATGGAATTTTCTTCTCTATATTGTCATCATACTTGAGTTCAAGTTTTTCCTTGATGTCAT